TTTAGCAATACGCATTTAAGAAGTACCTATGTTTCTGCAGATTTGATAGCTCATTCCTTTTTAATGCTGAATATTACTCCATTGTGTGGATGTACCACACTTTGTTGAGACTTTTATTTATTGAAGGACATCTTGGTTTCTTCCAGTTTTTGATGACTATAAATAAAACTGCTATAAATATTCATGTGCAGCTTTTTTTATGGACATAAGTTTTCAAATCATTTGGGTTAAAAATCCAGGACACAATTGTTGGATTATATGATAAGACTATATTTAGCTTTGTAAGAAACTCCAAACTGTCTTCCAAAGTGGCTGCACCATTTTGTATCCCCATCACCAATGAATGAGAGTTCCTGTTGCTCTGCATCCTCGCCAGTAATTGTCATTGTCAATTTTTAGTTTTTAGCCATTCTGATAGGCATGAAGTAGTATCTCATTGTTGTTTTAATTTGTATTTTCCTAATGACAAATGACATTGGATAGCTTTCCTATGTTTATTTGCCATCTGTTTATCTTCTTTGGTTAAGTGTCTGTTTAGATCTTTTGCCAATTTTTTAATTAAGTTTTTTGTTTTCTTATTGTTTAGTTTTAAGAGTTATTTGTATATGGGGAACAAATTCTTTATCAGATGTGTGTTTTGCAAATATTTCCTCCCAGTCTGTGCCTTATCTTCTCATTTTCTTAACAGAGCCTTTCACAGAGCATGTTTTAATTTTTTTTTTTTTTTAAAGATGGGTACCTGAGCTAACATCTGTTGCCAGTCTTTTTTTCTTCTTCTCCCCAAAGCCTCCCAGTATGTAGCTGTATATTCTAGTTGTAGGTCCTTCTGGTTGTGTTGTGTGGGACGCTGCTTCAGCATGGCTTGATGAGCAGTGCCACGTCCATGCCAAGGATCCAAACCAGCGAAACCCTGGGCCACCGAAGCAGAGTGTGCAAACTTTACCACTCAGCCACAGGGCTGGCCCCAAGCACATTTAATTTTAATAAAGTTCAACTTAATTGATTTTTTTCTTTTTTAGATGGAGCTTTTGGTGTCGTATCTAAAAACTCTTCACCAAGCTCAAGGTCATTTTGTTTTCCTTCTGTGTTTTCTCATAGAAGTTTTATAGTTTTGTATTTTACGCTTAAGTCTATGATCCATTTTGAGTTAATTTTTGTGAAAGATGTAAGGTCTATGTCTAGGGTGTTTTTTTTTTTGTTTTTTCTTTGCATATGGGTGTCCAATTGTTTCAGCACCATTTATCAAAAAGATGATTCTTTCTCCATTGAATTGCCCCTTTGTGCTTTTGAATTGCCCCTTCGTGCTTTTATCAAAAATCAGTAGACTAGGGGCTGGCCCAGTGGCACAGCAGTTAAGTGCACACATTCTGCTTTGGTGGCCCAGGGTTTGCCAGTTTGGATCCTGGGTGCGGACATGGCACCGCTTGGCACATCGTGCTGTGGTAGGCGTCCCATATATACAGTAGAGGAAGATGGGCACAGATGTTAGCTCAGGGCCAGTCTTCCTCAGCAAAAAGAGGAGGATTGGCTGCAGTTAGCTCAAGGCTAATCTTCCTCAAAAACAAAAAAGAAAACAACAAAAGAAAATATCAATAAACTATATTTGTCTCAATACAATTTTAATCTGTTCATGAAATCAGTAATATTTTAATGACACAAATCTAAAAGGCATAAAATGAATTCTACCAAACGTCAACATTCATTTCATGATTTATATGTTTAATAATCCATTGTGAAACGACCTGTCTCTTGCCTGTTTCTTTAACCTCATCTCTTCCTGTTCACTAATTCCAGCCTCCTGGCAGTCTTTCTGTTCCTAAATCACACCAAAGTCACAGTTGCCTTAGGGCCCAAACACTTCCTTGTGGGAGACTTTCAATCCAATTTGTCTTTATGGTCCTGAAGGGCCCTTGAAGCTCATGATCTTTCCTTTTCTCTTGGGAAGGGAGGTAAAATTAACAAATTGTGACTGTCAAGAAAGTTATACCAAGATCTGAATGTTCCTTTCCACCAGATACATTATTCATATTGCAATAAGGGAAGAGAACATGTAATGTTTATGAAATTCCTGTGAGAAGTCTCTCCTAAATTAGAAATGATGCTGCCTGTTTAATGTTTCTATTTGGAAAACAGAAAGGGACCTGATTCTGAGTGCCTCAAATGAGGTGAGGAAATGTCATATCTGGCCTATTGTTTCCATTCCAGGTGAGGGCTGGTTCAGACCCACCTTCGACACAGTCCCAGAGCATGCCTGTATCCTTTATCCAAGTGACCAACTACAGCCTGAGGTCCAGGACAAAGGAGCCATTTGGAGTAACCTACCCCTCGGCAGTAAGTCGAAAACTATCTGAGTAATATCGGGATATTTTCTTGCATGAGGAATAGAGGAAGCTTAAATATCCTTTGATTGGTCTCTGTCTCATGGCATCTTTGAACTTCTATCTCAGTATGTTTAAAAGAAGCAAGGACAGGGCCAGCCCGATGGCCCGGTGGTTAAGTTGGCATGTTCCACTTCTCGACGGCCCGGGGTTCACAGGTTCCGATCCCGGGTGCAGACATAGCACCGCTTGACAAAAGCCATGCTGTGGTAGGCGTCCCACGTATAAAATAGAGGAAGATGGGCATGGATATTAGCTCAGGGCCAGTCTTCCTCAGCAAAAAGAGGAAGATTGGCAGTAGTTAGCTCAGGGCTAATCTTCCTCAAAAAAAAAAAAAAGGCAAGGACAAGTTTAGCCCAGAAAATGGTCTGATTTTGGCCAATATTAAGACATCTCCTCCGGGAGTGCTTTTCCCCAAGCTGGTTGCTTCTCATCATTCAGCTCTTGTTTGAAATATCATCTGAGAACATTATTTTTAAAACTATCTTTTCACCTAGTCACTGTGAATTTTATTTTTTTCATGGGTCTTTCTTACTACTTTCAGAAATTACTGTGTTTGTTTTCTGTCCTTCAAACTGCTCGTCCACCCTCCCTTAAGAATGTAGGTTCCATGAAGGCAAAAATCTTAGCTATTTTGGTCATCATTAAGATCTGGAACATAGGTTCTAAATGAAAATTTTTAAGTGATTGAATAGTAGAACAAATGAATTACTGAATTCATGAATTACTGAATGATGGTAGATTATAAACCATGCATTTTTTTCCTACAGAGTCTGGAATGGTTGGGCATTTGAATGTATTAATGAGAAGAATGTATCAAAGAATATACAGAGGCAATGAAGTTAAAAGATATTTGTCAGACAGCATTTACAGCAGTCCCCCCTTACCCACAGGGGGTATGCTCCAAGACCACCAGTGGATGCTGAACTGCAGATAGTGCTGAACCCTATAAATGCTAAGTTTTTTCCTCTACATATGTATTTGAGGTGTGACAGCAAAACCATCACAAATTTCTTTTTCCTTCTTCACAATTTCATGGATAGTTTTGTTCTTACCGTAGATCTTAGCAACCTCAGCATACGATTTTTTATCTTTCCTTATTAAGTTGAGAACTTTCACCTTTTCACTTAAAGGAAGCACCTTACAGCTTCTCTTTGGCATATCAAATAGCCAGCATCACTACTCTTGTGCTTTGGGACCATTGTGAAATAAAATAAGGGTTACTTGAACACAAGAACTACGATACTGCCGCAGTCGATCTGATAATCAAGACGGCTGCTAAGGCACTAATGGGAGGTTAGCGTATACAGCTTGGAGACACTGGACAAAGGGATGATTCACATCCCTGGCAGGACAGAGCAGGAGCACACAAGATTTCATCAACTACTCAGAATGGTGGCAGGCAATTTAAAACTTATGAATTGTTTATTTCTGGAATTTTCCATTTAATATTTCAGATTGCTGTTGACCCCAGGTAACTGAAACCACTGAAAACAAAACCATGGATAAGGGGGGGACTACTGTACTATAAGGCAACGATCATGTTCAGTTTCCTTTCTTCTAGTGAAAAAACTGAGACTATTACCTAACTCACGTGTTTGAACAATTCAGTAATATCTCAGAAGCCATAGTTTTCAAATAGCAGAACAAAGATCTAGTAAATAAGATTCAAAATGGTACCCAACATTTGTGTTGTGATAAAGTCAAAATGCAATTCTAAAGTACATACAAAAACATTCAATGACTCGTAGGCATCTAATAAAAGAGAGAATCTAAGAATGTGGCAAGCAGCAGGAATAGATTCATAGATCCATGCAACGTCTGAGCTGGTGGGTACATTAGCGAGCCAATGTTCTAAATCTCACATTTTAAATAGCAGGGACTAGGCCCCTGAGGGAAATGGCCTGCCCAGGTTAATACAGATATTTATGGGTGCCTCTGGAAACTGTTGAGTACTATAGAACAGGTGGAACTCTAAAAGCAATTTACTTACATTGTACCAAAATAACCAGTAAATTCAGTAGTGCAAAAACATCACCACCATCATTGTTAGTTTGCCATGATGTAGACCAAACAGTCACTTATTTTGGTAGAGCTCTGAATCAAGCTGAGTAGGAAAATGTTCCATTCATGATTTTCTATCATAGTAAACAAGTCAGGGTATGCATGATAGTGAGAGCTGGACCATCTCATCACTCATATCTAAATTATAGGAGTGACTGCAATCATACAATTAAGGATGTACAGATTACTTCTTGAATACATTTTTACTTCTTGGCCTTATTTAAAAAAAGACATGATTTTAACCAATTCTATTTCTGAAATTATATTTTTGCATTTTGCTTTTTTAGGATATTGTCATATTGGAAAAATTGTTAGTATTTAGAGACATGTCTTAATTATTAATAGAATTCAGGACCTGATATTCCAAGATTTAGGCAGTTGTGTCCAGAAAAAGCATGCCAGTCATAACATAATTAGATGGTTGCAAAAAAAATGAGAGCTTCCAAATTGTTTGAGGAATTTGTCATTCCTATGGTGTGAATAAACCCAGACATAATGAAGTGGACTTGGTGAATCAGAAGCCCTTCTCTCTATGCTCCATATTTACTCAATTTTTATAACAGCTTTCGGTCTAATTTAATACATTATTCTAGAAGAAAGGATCCACAAAATGGCTACAGAAAAGTGAGAAATATGTTCCTTTTAGGTTTTTTAAAATAAAGCATTAAAAGTAGAATACTTTTAAAATGATATTCAAATGACTTTTAATTACCACAAAGGCATTGAGATGTTAATACACTTTATATAAAAGGGAAGGATACTATTCCATCCGTCCTTTTCTGCCATGAATTCCAACTCTAAGAAAATTATTTCTTTTGATCCACTCTGATAGCATGTAATAAAAGAACAATAAAACATATGGCCCAATTACCACTGCTTCTCATCAAGCATGAATTAATGAATATCAAATTATTATTAATTGTTTTTTCTGGCTCCCTCTCCATAGGACAACGATTATACATTGCTGTATTTTGATAAGCATTTTGTGTTTAACACTTTGTGGACCAGTCTCTAAGAGGAACAGATGCTTGAAATCATTATATAGAAGAATAATTCTTTAAATTTATCAACATTTAGAAAATACATGATTATCTTTTAATCTCTCTAGTTTATGCCAGTTTTTTACAACTGCCTTAAATTTCCCTAGAATTCCACCCTCTCTCAACGCTTCATATGCCTTCCTTCGAGAAGCAGTTGCTATGTGCATAGAAAATAGTTTATGTTTAATTTCTCAATTTTAATAACAATTCTAGTTCCTCACATAAGATTATTGAATTTTCAATTCCTTAAGAAAAAGATCTTTAAAAAATAAAAGCTATAGCTTCAGCAGTTAAATAATTAAGTTAAGCAGCATGGCAAAGAATATAGTAAATTGTGATCACCATAATTGACCAAATCAATGTCAGTGAATGATATTTATAGACATTCCACAAAAGATTCTGTGTAACTGACAGTTCACTTTTTTTTTTATAAGCCATCTGGAAATATAAAGTGCTATGGAATATGAACAGATGTTACACGCTAAAGGATATGTCTTTGTAGTCCATAACCGTTATTTCTTATACATTATTTATATGTCTAGATTTTGAAATGCATGCAAAGAAAACTTAGCAAATTACAATATGTAAACTACACGTCATATGATTTTACCTGTTACCCATAAATCCATGTCTTTCTGTTTTTAAAACACATTCTATAAAAATTATATGTGATAAACCGAAGGATGGCACTAGGGTTAAATTGTTTGGATGTCCTATCTAGTTCAATATGCTTAACAAACACATATTCGGATATGTTTCTAAAGAAAAAACAAAAACTTCTTTTAGAATCAGATGATTTTGAGAGCAGAAAGGAACCTTTGGAAACATTTTGGCCAATACCCCTCATGTTACAGATAATGGCACAGAGATCTGAAAAGTTTAAGTGATTTTTTGAGGTCCATACAACTTGATATGTTAACATCTTTTTGCCAAACTTCCTAAGAAAATTTCTATCAGTATTTCTTTTGCACATAAAGGAAACATATCTTGCTTCCTCGACAGTTTGTCAGGATGTCAAGAACATCTGTAAATCCAAATTCTTAGGGAAACAAAGGTGAGAAAATGAGAAACTTGTCTATAATGGAAACCATAAGGCACAGGCTAAATATGAAGCAGAGATGGACCTGGTTAAGGCTGACAATGTTCACTGCCATCAGAAGCATCATTCTTTTGACATTGGCAACTGGAACCACTTGAATTTTTGATAGCTAAATCTAGCCAGATACCAGATGGTTCCCTTTATGTGGATGACCTTATTGAAGGCAATTAGATTATTTATGCAATAGCAGAATTGTTAATTCTACACAAGAGTCAATCTTTGGGGTAAAAACTTTTCTAGATTACATATTCTTAAAATAAAAATTTAAATTCCTTAATGAGCGCTTTCATCTTGATGTCCGTGTGTCAGAATTATTGAATCCACTTTGCTGAAAATTTTAAAGAAAATAACAGTTAGATATATGAATTCAGTACAAAAATAAGCCTATAACTAAAATTTAAAAAATAATCATTCTTCCAGGCGTAGTGGCGGATTAAGCATTTCACTTTGTCCTTCTACTACATTCATCAACATTGCTTTTGGTCATACCATAATATGAAGTACCGATGCCTGGTACTCATATTTATGAGATGCCTCAGAGTGATGTCTTGACAATTTATATGTACTATAAAAAATGTGATGTCTATGGAGTGCACGTAGACAGGGAGGAAGACACAAAGATTCTGAGTCTTTTGGTAACCACGTTTCCCAAGCCATATCTCAGATCTGGGAGACTGAAAGTTTTAGAGCTGCCACTATGTACATCAAGGCCCTCGATATAATACTGGATCATGATAAGGCTGCTAAGTTAGGAAGGAAACGGAATATGAGAACTGGCTGGGGAAAGCAGAAGATAGAAGGCAAAGGATGAATATAGTGAGGTTTGTTCTTGTAACTGATTCTGCAGCCTGATGAAACGTGGGTTTCTGAATATTTTTCAGAGCACTTTCCAGATGTAGCCTCCCAGTACCTCATTAATATCACACATTTGTCATTAAATCCCATATTTTGGATTCTATGTAAAAGTCACAAATGGTCCTCTTTCATTCACCACAAGACTTGCACTTCACACGGTGCTGCTGACCATCTCCCCAGTATCATGCTGGTTATTCTATCTACTGACTATTGAATTTAAAAATAAAATATTGATACTAGCTTTAAAAACTAATCAAGTTTCGGGGCTGGCCCCGTGGCCGAGTGGTTAAGTTCACGCACTCCGCTGCAGGTGGCCCAGTGTTTCGTTGGTTCGAATCCTGGGTGCGGACATGGCACTGCTCATCAAACCACGCTGAGGCAGCGTCCCACATGCCACAACTAGAAGGACCCACAACGAAGAATACACAACTATGTACTGGGGGGCTTTGGGGAGAAAAAGGAAAAAAATTTAAAAAAATCTTTAAAAAAAATTAAAAAAAAATAAAAAAACTAATCAAGTTTCATAGGACTTTATATTGCTAACTTACTGTGCATTCTGCACATCTTTTATATCAACTTTTAAAGCTTTCATGCTGTTTGTAGAAAATATGAGTTAAAAATGCAGTTTTTAATGCTTTCTTCTAACATTATTTATGCTAATGAAGAGCCCAAATTATAGTAATGTTTGTCTTAAACTGATAAAAAGTACTTAGATGCGACATTTCATATGGAATTTTTAGAATTAACCCTAAATTTTCCATTTAAAAATAACATTAACGGGTATTTAGCATAATAACCAAATTAGGTAAAAAAGTATATTCTAGCACAAATGTAAGGTCATTCACAGAAATGGACTTCCATTCCAACCATTATTTGAGGAGAGAAGATCTACTTTTGTTTGAAAAAAGTTGAAAATTTTCTAAAATAAATGACCTCTTTGTTTAGTTATATCTATGTCTGGTCTGATATCAGAAGAAAATATAAACACTGATTGATTTTACACCATAATACTACCATAGTATAATTATCTGCACCTGAATTCTAAACTAAATATAATTAATAAAATATTTTTTACTTTTCAAATTCTTTATTTTCAACAATCTTAAATGCTCATTAATGTTAATGATAGTTCCTTACAGAGCTTAATACTCACCCACAACTTTAGAGTAGCAAGGTTCACAGTGTATCGTCTGTCTATAAATCCAAATGCTGTCACCTGCTTGTAGGTTTTCCAAAGGCCGTTTGCATATTTCACACTAAAGAAAAAATCAATATGTAATTCTGCATTATATATGAAGTCTAGATTCTTAGTGTAACAGCATAGAAAAGCCCTTTCAATTCATTCGGGACCATCCTCCATGGCAACACTCAGATGAAGCCTCAAGAAAAGCCACAAGGGAAAGTGAGAGGGTCCTTGTCATATGCCAAACTTTCCAAATAAATTCTCACAGCATCTCTCTATGGAGGTGTGCATTTCAGGCATATCTACCACTGAAGTTTCTACTTAACTCACAATAGCATAGATGTAAATTATCAAAAATTGGTTATGCCAAGGACAAGATCACCACTCAACATCTCAAACAAAAACACAAACTGTATTTATTGTTTGCTTACTAAAGAAGAGCCATGCTGTCCAGCTATAGACTCCTTAAGCAAAACAAACTTCTGCTCTTACACAGGGTTTAGGGGAAAGTTTGTTCTGAGTTGTGTTGGTTACGGAGGCAGGGAAGGGTTGAGCTCTGCTTCAGAACTGTGTGCACTGGAGCCGATCCACTACCCATTGGCTGACTTTCAAGCATGAGGCTTCACTGATTGGTTGGCTTTCAGAAGCGAGTTTACTGAAGCAAATTGTCATTGATCAATTTGACACGTTTAAACCAGTCCAGGTGGTTCTGTATTATCATGCTATAGAATAATCCATCTTTTCCCAGGAGTATGGGGACATTTTTATTCTCAGTTAGTAGTACTTTATAATTAACTTATAATTAAAGAAAATAGAAATAAGTCATCCAAATATAATAAATGGAAATTATTCCTATTTACAAAGGCAATAATCAGGAAAGTCTTCATTTTAAAAAGATTTATGCATAATAATTTAAAATAAAGAGCTACAGACTAACCTTTGTTTCACTGAGTAAATTTTATTAACTAAAAGAAATGTTCATTTTCTCATAATTAAATAATTATGCAATCTTCAGATTATATTTTATATAGAACTCTATATGTTATATACTGTTTGGGTTTTTTTGTTTGTTTGTTTTTTAAGGACGATTAGCCCTGAGCTAACATCTGCCACCAATCCTCCACTTTTTGCTGAGGAAGATTGGCCCTGAACTAACATTCATGCCCATCTTCCTCTACTTTACATGTGGGATGCCTGCCACAGCATGGCTTGATAAGCGGTGCATAGATCCGCACCAGGATCCGAACTGGCAAACCCTGGGCCGCCAAAGCAGAACAGGTGAACTTAATCGCTGCGCCACTGGGCTGGCCCCTATATGTTATATACTAAAATTGGATTTTCTTTTTTTGCTCAAAATGAGGTATCATATTTCTGATTGCTATGTGTCACTGCCTGAAGCTAATTGGAGGAGAAGCAATCAGTTGTCAAAGTATTATCTCTATTTGACTGAATTAGATAATTTGCACGGACCATAGAATGTCAGGACCAGAAAGAACCCATAGATTTGGGCTAATGGTTCTCCAACTGACTCCCATTAGATGTATCTAAGGAGCTTTTAAAAACACCAATGCCCAGGAATCATCTCTGAGATACTTAATGCATTGGGGCTGGTCCCAAGCATTCTATTTTTCTCCTAATCTCCCTAGATGACCACAATGTGCAGCCAGAATTTAGAACCAGTGGTCTAGTCAGCTACCTCATTTTACAGATGAGGAAACTGAAGCCAAGCTAATGTAGGTGATTAGCCAAAGTCACACAGTCCGTTAGTGGCATAGTTAGAACTCAAACTCAGGTCTCCTGATTCCCACTTCAGTGCTCATCCAGTTACACCAAAAACTATCATGCTGACCTACCCAATGTCACTGTGAGAAGTAAAAGAATGGCATAGGAAAATGCAAACTGTGAAGCATGCTAGTATGTAAGCTTTATTATTATTATACCAAGCCCCAATTCATTATAATTCACCATACTCTCAAAAGCAGATTGAGTTTCAACTGCTGTTAAGCCCATCAGTTCTAATTTCATGACGTAAGGAGCTGTTAGCTTTCTTCTCAACAATTTCTTTTCCTTTTTGGATTTCATTATATATTTTATGTAATGCATAATTTACTAAAATGTTGCAAAACTTTTATAAAGAGAACAAGTGTTTATCTTCTTACAAATTTAAATCTCTAAAGTAAGAGTAATAAATGTGTCCGTCGTCAATTCTAAACCTAAAGCCAAGATAGTAATTATAAACTTTGAGGTTTCGGCTGCAGACTCTGAGAAACATTCGAGTCGTGCATTATTAATGTAGATGATAGTGTTTCTGAAAGCTAAATTCATCCCAGGTATTTCATTAAATAATTATTTTTATTCCAGTCCAGTCGTTTTGCAATTTTATATTTACTTAAATGCAATAAACATATCCTTACCTTGAAGCAAGTGGAATGGCAGCAAATTTGTAATTCATCTAAAATCATTTTAGTTTCCACGCCCAAGGGTTTTCGGCAGTAAGTGCACATATCTCTTTCAATGACAGACCTATAGAGACGTAAGCAATTAAAAATAAATTTGTCTTCATGCAAAAGACAGATGTATTCCCCATAAATTCATGTGGAAATGATATGTTCATTTTGTTCATACTTTAGGAAATTGCATAAAAATCAAGGAAAGTTCAGAGTTTACTTATTCTAGTGATAGAATTGATTCTTCTGCTTACCTCAAAATGATATCAAAGAATTAACATGAAGAAAGGCTCAAATTATTAATTCATTAGCAATCAAGAGTGCATCTGGGCAGGGCAAAGATGTTCACAGTATCCTAATTGAACTAGGTCATAAGTACCCCTTGAAGCTAGAAGAGGGTTTTGAATTATTAATTTACATCTATCATGGAAAAATTATGCTACAGATTAATGTAAAATTTTAACTCTCAAAACATTCAACAAGGCAAAAATAGAAATCCATTTAAAGTGTGTTGGTAAATTTACAAATGATGGGTCTGTAGTACCCTAGACTCTAGGGTCTAGAGTCGCCAAAATGCTCCCCTATGACGCTTTTCTTGGTGTCGTTGTAAGACTCAGAATACTGTACTACTTTTCATGATAAAATTTATATTCTCCAACGAGACATAACCCTACCACCAATTTGATGGGGAAAAAAGAGTTTTGTTATTTATTTTGGAAAAATAATATTCAATAATAAATGAACTGTAGATGTGATCAGCAGAGTCCAAAATACCTTGGATCACAACAAAACGTTAAAAAAGGCTAATAAACGTGTGACTCTTCCTTTTGGAAAGTCTTTTGCAAGGTGTCTTAAATAGCACCTTGCAGAATTGACTAGTTTCAGGGTGTTAGCGTGCAGGTCTGAAATTTCCAGAGTAGGATACATAATGGGGTGGTGAAATAAAAATAGCTAATATTTATATAATGCTAATATGTTTAATGTATGCAGTGCATTTTTCCATGCACTTATATAAACTCATTTGTTCTTCACATCTCTGAGAAGTGGGTATTATTATTTATATCATCATTTTACAGAAGAGGAAACTGAGGCACAGAAGGGTAAGTAATTTGCTCCTGTCATGAAGCCAATGAGTGGCAGAGACAGGATTTGAATGAAGGTCCCAGAGTTCCTGTGCTAACTCTGGGCCTGCCCATGAGGTCTGTCGGGCTCACTGTGTTGAAATGAACTAGTCATGCCCAGGAACCATGATCCTAACATCAAGCCCAGGACTAGAAACAGAGAGGAGGAAAATCAGAAGGGAGGAGGAGGTGGGAGAGGAAAAGGATTAGAGTAGATAAACCCTGTCTCTTTCCACACTTTCGGTCATTCTAGTAACATCTTCCTAACCCTTATGTATATAAATAAGTATTTTCCTCTTTAGTTACTTGCTTATATATTCCTAGAAAATATTTGCCTATGGATAATTCATATATATATACATACATATATATATATAAATGTGCACACACACACACTCAAATTTCCCATGTAAGACCATAAGCACTTCAGAGTAGAACACAAGCACTCTATCATTATTCCATTCCAGAGGCACTGAGATAGGAGCTGGGAATATGAAGAAGAGCGAGACAGCCTCCTCCAATAAGAAGCTTTCTTTCCACTAGGGTTTTTATTGGATTCGATGATGGCAGCACATTATGGATATGTGGACAGAGTTAGGAGAGCAAGTCAAGGAAGTAACTAGTCCCTGGAGCGAAGCAAGGAAAAGTGCCATGTGAGTTAAAGCTTGAAGACAAAGGAGCTCTCAAGGTGAGCTCAGTGAGGTTGGGAGGGGCATTATGGAGGGGTCACAAGGGGAATGAACAGGACCTACCAAGGTGCTGCACAATGAGGGTGTCTGTAGTGACTGACCATCAGTCAGTAATCAGCAGGAGCAGGTTCTGAAGGCTCATAAATAATGTGCGAAGGAATTTAGTCTTTATCCTGTAAAGTGGGAAGCCACTTTAAATGGGATTAACATGCTTAGATAAGAACTGTGGGGACATAGCTAATTTCAAGCAATAATCAACAGAAAAAGTTACTTGATTGACTGGTCTTATAGAGAATGGACTTTTGCTCTGATGACTAAGAAAAATTTCAAAGACCACTTGAGGAACAGAACTGAAATTTTTCATATTGAGAGCAGTACCTTTATGAAGAATGCTTTCTTTCCTTAAGTTGACAATAAAAATATGAGCCCAGAGAAAGCTCTGATGTTGGCATTGCCCTTATTAAGACCATGTCACTAGTCAAAGATCTTTTCAAAGCATTATGAAAAATCTAGCTCTGGGTTTTTTGTTGTTGTTATCTAGACAGTGTTTGTGGTTCTAATGCTTGTGTAGGTGACTTCACTCCTCAAAGAGGGGTGACTTAAAGGCGAGACGCTCAGAAGGGGATTGGTAATGGGCAATGTCTTATAAAAGTGACAGAAAGAGGATATAATTTTGATGCCTGGTCCATCAAGGTTAGCAAATGTGACATAGGTTCATTTTTTTAGAAAACATTTATTGAGTACTTGTTACTGAGTACTGTGTTACAGGCTGAGGCTGTGGATAAAAATAAGATTTGTCCTTACTCTCAATAAGTCATATTTCCAGCCCTGCTACAGAGAAACATCATCAGTAGAAGGTTGGACATTATAGCTGGTTTCCAGTGGTTGGCTGGAAATCTGCAGGCCACATTCTCCTGAGCGTCACCTATCTGCTCCACTGAACATTAAATGGTAAAAGAGGATCATCAACAGCAAAAGCCTGGGGTCAGTTTACCAGCGCTAAATTGAACTCATTGCAATCCCCCTCGTGGGAACTGAACCGTGGGCCCGGAGTGGGTCATAGCAGCACAGCCATGCAGCTGTTTGTAAGGTGAACTGGCCTTGGAAAACTGCAAGGAGGGAGGGCCGAGGGCACAGCCTAGTGATGCAAGAAGCCTATCGAGTAATAATGTGGCGGTACCGGAGACTCCTGGGAGTCATCCACAGCAGAGGGGCTGGCCTGGGAGGCAGCTGTAAGGCACAGAAAGCTCTACTGGCATAAAGTGCATCAAAACCAAAGAGCGGCAACAGTCAGGAAGCCAGGGAACAAATTCCTGGCAGCAGAGGGTGTTGTGCTTTGTTCCATTCATACACATGTATAACAATCACCATCAGGAGGGCCATCTCCAAGCACAACGGACAACAAGAATATACATATACAGAGTCAACTTTCTGGATTCGCAGGTTCGAGATCTACCCATTCAACCAACCTCACATGAAAAGGCGTACAATGCTTGTGTCTGTACTGAACACGTACAGACTTCTTTGTCTTGTCATTATTCCCTGAACAATACACCGCAACAACTATCTACACAGCATTTACATTGTAGTAGGTATTCTAAGCAAACTAGAAATGATTTAAAGTATATAGGAGAATGTGCGTAGGTTATATGCAAATACTATGCCATTTTATATATGGGACTTGAGCATCTGTGGATTTTGGTATCTGTGGGGTCCTGGAACCAATCCCCCTGTGGATACAGAGGGAGGACAGTAACGTATATAAGCATGTGTATATATACTTCTATATACGGAAAAATACTCACCTATCTGAAGTTGAATAAACAGTTTGTATGTATTTTCCAGAGAAGTTCTCCTGATATCCACCCTTTGGTGGTTTACTAGAAACAAACACATACGGACATGTGAGAACCGGGCTATTTCCCTAGTATTGATATATATACCTCCAGGCAGGTGAGGAAGCACACACTTCTCCTCATGGAGCCTCATTCTGCTTCTTTGTGATGTTACAAGCCAGGGAAATGTCCTGACACTTTTTTTTTAATCCAGAGGAGTACTGATATGCAAACCACCCCCAAGTTAACACAAATTGATGTATCTACCAAAGTAAACAGAGAACTGGGCATGGAGTGCAGGAACAAGGGTGAGCAGGAAAAGAAGTTATTGTTTTTAATGAAACTTATACTTCTACCTCCCTCATCTATTTACCAAAAGAAAGCTATATGGAGTCCAACATAGATAAAGGAAATACATGTACCAAGCATGAGCTGGAGCTGGTGCAAGCACATATAGACATATTCTGTTCACATAGAGAAATACTCTTGAACTTTCAGAGAAAGCTATAGAAATTTTTATCTTTACTTGAAAACATCCAAGAAAGAATAGCTTAGAATGAAAGCAAAAAAACTGTAATTTTTAAAAGTCGTCTTCGTTCTATTTCTTAGATTGTTCCAGTTTGTAAATGTCTCTCTTTCCTGGAGACAAATGAAATCTGCAACGCGGTAACCAGCTGGCTGCTCATAATTGCTTCCCACGTACTTACGCTACCTGTGAGTGTATCAGGTCTGCAAGCAATATGTTCCTATTATTTCATACAGGGAGTGATAACTCCACAGCCCTCATTTGAGATTTGTTAATGAGCCATCTCTCCCTCCCTCCTAACTGCCCACGGGCAGACTGCTGTCAGAAATAGAATCTACTTCATAGAACACATAACTCACAATGCTAAATAAGAATGTGTACGTATTTATGCATGGTACATATATCATCACTCCACTTTATTGATGAGGAAACTGAGACATGAAGAGGTTAAGTAGCTTTGCCAAGGCCACATGGACATAAATGACAAACAAAGATTCAATCTCAAGACTGATTCTAGGGCCTCTATACTGAATGGCACTGCCAGTGTAGATTTTAGGAAGAATTGGGTTAAGCAGAAAAATGAAATCTGAGGTTGCGTTTCACAAGGTAAATTATGTGTGGGTTTGAGAAACCTTTTCTTGCATGGCACTCCTGGCACAAACTGTATTTCCAGGAGCCTCCTCCCCGCAGAAGCACTTTCCAGATACTCTGTTATTTGGTCTCTTTGAAGTGGGCTCTGATTAACATGTGTGTCACGAATATCTGCATTTGCATGCCCACCATTACATTACCCCACACTAGGCTAACTCTTGTTTTTATATTCTTTTAAAAGTGAATGGACCATGGATCCCTGACCTTGGTTGACATTTTCCTCAACATCTACCACATTGATGAGCAGATTTTGTAGGACATCAATTCCTTGAAATTTGGGCCAGAGTATATTACTAAAAGTTAGACCTTTTATTTCAGATTAGAGGTAAACAATAATAGATAGAACCATTTAATTAAAGTGTGACCCAAAATTAACATAATATTTGTGACTTTTACAAAGCTTGTTATAAACATATATTCATATATGTTTATGTGAGAACTTTCAAATGGCTATCTATTATGTATACACATGCTATATTAAAATATTATTTAGTCCATCTGATGACTTTTTATGATTATTTGACAACTGCTTAATATTGGAAACATTATAAAGAATTATATACCTAGAACTCAACGTACACTTAAATGGACTTCGATTTGAAAAAAGCCAACATACTCTAAAATAATAGCGTTTCTCCTTAAACATAGATCATTTCAAAATTATAAAATAAATATAGCAAAATAGTGAAAATAAATTTCCAGTACCTATTCTCCACATATGTCCTTGTGTACACAACTGTGTCCTTTTGTCCTGCATGCCTGGTTTCAGCATTGGAGCTGCAATACAAAAATTTTACTTTATTTTTAAAGTTAATTTATAAGGATAATCAAAATAAAAAAGCTATTATGCAATCTAATGCAAAAAATAATCCTCATCTATTCTTTCTAAACTCTAACCTTTGAAATATAAATGTTAAAGTGGTATTAATCCACCTTTGCAAAATTTCTTTATGTCTTCCATAGCATTCTTAACTTTCATGGTGTTGGCCTACTTTTAGAATACTGTTATAAAAACTGGTCTCTCAGTAAATCTGCTGTAGAGTATGAAGTTTATTTTGAATATTTGTGTAATATGTTTTAGTGTCTGTTTCCCTCATGTCCCATTCGTATTTCCAAACCAGAACCTCCCCCACAAACCTCTAACAAAAACCCTAATCAACTAACATGATAACATCTTATTTAATGAAACTTTTAAATCTACCTAAAGAATGTCAACACCAATGTCACAATCATGCCTTTTTAAAAAAAGAAAATTGTAGACTTTGTAGGGAAAAATCACGTCTTACACTTTCCTATCCAGATGTCACAACTTACCAAGGACCAAGATGCTAACTCAACACCTTTGTGTAAGCCTGTTTAGCCACTGATAAAATTAGAAATTTCTTCATTTCAAAGGAAGAGTCAGGTTGTATAAGGGATGTTTTTTAAAAACAGAAGGAGAATAGTCCCTGTCATTTGTTTCATAATTGATCACAGTACCTGAGCGTCTTTCTGGCTTCATAAGAATAGGCAGGGGTTCCAGTGGACTGGGGGTTTAAAGCATCAGTAGATCCATTGACTTGGCCATCTAGCCTGAGAAAGCAAATGCAAATATTTGGCACTTAAAAATTAGGCCACTGGGGCCGGCCCCATGGCTGAGTGGTTAAGTTCGCGTGCTCTGCTTCATCGGCTCAGGGTTTCACTGGTTTGGATTCTGGGCGCGGACATGGCACCACTCATCAGGCCACGTTGAGGCGGTGTCCCACATGCCACAACTAGAAGGACCCACAACTAAGAAAATATATATACAACTATGTACTGGGGGGATTTGGGGAGGAAAAAAAAGAAAAATGGCAAGAGTTATCTCAGGTGCCAATCTTTAAAAAAAAAATTAGGCTACTTAAACATTTTTTGTTTCATTAAAATTCTGTTCAGTTAACATCTTTTTGCATACAGTGAATCTCTTTATGTTTGCCTGCTTTCTGCACAGATACACAAATAGAATACATATACTGTTTTACTTCTCCCAGAGACCACTGTGTTACCTTTAAAAATAGTCTACAGGTATGTGTCACCTTACCTAAGGATAGGATAGAATACATTTTTATCAAGGGCAGGAGCCATCTGAAATTGGTTCCAGTAACGTTTTCACAACAGCAGTGCCATTTTAGAAAGCTTCTCATGTACAATATTTGTTGTTAGTCCCTGGACAAGTCAATTCCAACTCCTAGCAACCCTGTGTAAAGCAGAGCGGAATCCTGCCCCGTCTTTTTGTGCCGTCCTCTCACCTTCTGGTGCTGTATCAGACAATGCTCCACTGCTATTCATGGGGTTTTCATGGCCAGTTTTTTTGGAAGTGGGTGGCCAGGTCCTTCTTCCTTGTCTGTCTTAGTTTGGAAGCTCCGCTGAAAGCTCTTCACCATGGGTGACCCTGCTGGTATTTGACATATTGGTGGCACAGCTTTCAGCATCACAGCAACATGCAGCTGCCACAGTCTGACAGCCGATAGACGGGTGGTGTGGTTCCCTGACCAGGAAACCAACCCAGACTGCCTCAGTGAGAGTGCTGAGTGTTAACCACTAGGGCACCATGTGTACAATATATCTGAGAGTTTAACAATTTACTGAAAATTATCCAGGGGTTACTTTGAGAAATTCCAGTTTCCACTTTATTTTTAATGGAAAGCAACGCTTTGAAGATTACAGAACTTTGACCTAGATTTCTGCTAATCTAAAAATGTCACTATGCTTAACAAAGCGTAGGCATGTTTGCTTTTTCTTTTGAAACAGAGGAACATTTTAATGCAGTTATAGTGAAAGTTTAACTCCTTTTCCTCCACCATATTAGTAAACTCTGACACAGGAGAGACACAAAAACCAAGAGCAGAGTTTAAATCTCAATCATGATGTCATTCTCAAACAGGCTGTTCCTTCCATTTCCAGAAAGCTCTTAAAGAAGAGGAAAACATTTATTCACATACTATCATCTCTGACCTCAGAAAATCATCTTCTAGTTTTAAGACAGATGTTTCACAAAACATACAGCTGAGTTAAAATAACACTAAGTAATGAAAATGTGGAATTAATATTATTAGAAGACTTCCTAAAGTGATTATGAAAATATTTCATTCCAGGAATAATGAAACCTAATTAGGAATAGTTTGGAGATATTCAAATCATATAATATACAATACAAAATCCAATTTAACAAATAGCTTCAAAGGACAAAGGTTGTCAATGAGTTTGAAATGTGTTTGCATTGTCCTCAGCAATGTAAAATCAAATATCACCAGTTTGCAAAATAAGCAAATGGGAGAGGGAAATAATTTGCAAACAGTACTGTTATGGACTGAATTTTGTCCTCCCAGAATTCATATCTTGAAGCTCTAACCCCAGTGTGATTTGGAGACAGGGCCTATAAGGAGGTGATAAAAGTTAAGTGAGGTCCTAAGGGTAGAGTGTTAATCCCAGAGGACTGGTGTCCTTATAAAAAGAGGAAGAGACACCAGAGATTTCTCTATATGTGTGCACACACACAGAGGAAAGACCTCATGAGGACACAATGAGAAGGCGGCCATCTGTAAGCCAAGAAGAGAGGCTCACGAGAAACCAACCCTGACAGTACCTTGACCTTGGACTTCAGCCTCCAGAACTGGGAGAAAATAAATTTCTGTTGTTTAACCCACCCAGTCTGTAGTAGTTTGTTATGGCAGCCCAAATGGACTAATACAAGTAGCATTTCCTAGCAGTGTTTATAATGAGATTAATGACGATGCCTTCCTGAAAGATTCAATTTTTATAATTATGAATAAAAACCAATTGTTAGTAAATAAATTCGGAATGTGAAACAACAAACTTTTTGATAGATTTTGCTCCTTCAGTAGGTTTGGAGAACGATAGGTTCTTTTAAAAAATAGACCTTTTATTTTGGAATAATTTTAAATGTATAGAAAAATTGCAAAGATAGTGCAGAGAATCTCTGTTCCCCTCACCCAGCCTCTCTTAATGCCAATATCTTACAAAACCATGGTACTTTTGGCAAAACTAAAGAATTAACATTGGTATAATAGTATTAACTAAATTACAGACATTATTTATATTTCATTAGTTTTTCCACTGATGCCCTTTCTCAGTTCCAGAATCTAAATCAAAATATCACTTCCACATAATCATCCTGTCTCTTTAGTCACCTAGGGTCTGTGACAGTTGCTAGGTCTTTCTTTGTTTTTCATGAGATGGCAATAGATTGCATAAAGTAAATTCTATCTTGATGCCAGTTAGCAGTTACACTATTTTTTTTTATTATAATTTAGAACCATAGAAATAGTTAGACAATACTTTGGCAACCAATGAAATAACCAGTAGTGCTTTTTAAAATGCTAATGGATACCACATCCAGATATTCTGATTTAATTGATTTGAGGTACAACTTGGGCACTGGGACTTTTTAAAATCTCTCTAGTGATTCTCACAGGCAAGTCAAGGTCGAGAACCACTGCCTTAGAGGTTGGGCAGTTCAACGTCTTACCCAAATGAGCACTGTTTCTCAAAGTGTGGTCCCTAGATCAGCAGGTGATTCTGATATACACTAACGTTTGGGAACCAGTGCAATAGAAGACTCTCTGCCAAAGTATTCCCCTCAGATGCTTTGAATAATATTCATAAAGGAGAACTCATGACTCACAATGTTTGTTGCTTGACAGCATTACTGTTGAGAAGTTATCCTTCATTGAAACAAATTGCTTAGTTGTAACTTCCAATCAATGGTCATAATTTTGTTCCTTAATTAAATAATAACTCTATAAAATACCCAAACATTGTATTTGGTCTTAAAAAATTCCAAATGGAATTACACTTGAGAAAATGTTTCCTGCACTGGAAATTCACCTTGAAAATTTACCTATCTGGAACCCTCAAGCGCTGCTAGCGAGAATATCAAATGGCACAGCTGATTTGAAACACAGTCTGGAGTTCCTCAAATGGTTAAACAGAGTTACTATACAATCCAGCAATTCCACTCCTAGGTATATACCCAAGAGAAATGAAAACATACTCCACACAGAAACTTATATATGAATGTTCATGGCAGTATTATTCACAATAGTGAATTACAATCCAATAGTGGAAACAACCCAAATGTCTATCAGTTGATGAATACATAAACAAAATGCTGTATATCCATACAATGGAACATTATTTGACAATAAAAAGAAATGAAGTACTGATACACACTATAATATGGATGAATCTTGAAAACATTATACTAAGTGAAAGAAGTCAGTCACAAAGGATCACATATTCTATGATTCCATTTATATTAAATGTCCAGGATAGGTAATTCATAGACAGAAAGTAGATTAGTAGTTGCACAGAGCTGAGGGGTTGGGGGAAAATGATGTGGACTGCTAATGGCTATGGGGTTTCTTTTCGAGTTGATGACAATGTTTTAAAATTGATTGTGGTGATGGTTGCACAACTCTGTGAATATACTAATTAGAAAACATATATTTACTTGGGCATCCAATTACTATACAAAGTGAATACATTCATAAAGTGAATCAAGTCTCAATTTAGCAGATTGGCCCAGGATTCTTATTTAGGTTTCCATTGTTTTATTAACCTTAGCAATTTGAGATTAAACAGCATAAAACAATTTCAACTGATAAACATCCATATTGCTACAAACTTTACAAATTTCTTTTGCATAAAGAATAAAAGCTTATTAAGAACTTGCCATTTGGTACCATATGTGTTAGAGTTTACATCTATAAAACTGTCAAGGTCTTGAGCTCTTGCAGAAATTACAAATTTTAAAACTATAAAAAGAAATACTCTACTGTAGAAAAATAAGGCGAGGACTTAATGCCAGAACACTTGGCTTCATTCTGCCTCTCTAATTTACTAACCTAATCAAGTCTCACTCGCTGATCCTCAATTTTCTTTCTGTTAATTATTTACCCATTTTGAGAGTCAAGCAAACTTTCCTTTCTGTAGCCAGAATACATAAGTACAAAAATTGAGGCCAGAGATTTCTTCTTTTCTTACTCTTTTTCAAGTCAAAATTTTTATTACAATTGTTCTGTCGGTGTTTGGATAGTGGTTACATTTTCCATTTAATTCGTAAATAGCAGAAACATGAGAAATCATACTGTAGGGATTATGATAGGACTGAAGGAGAATGAATCCCACCTGGAAACAGAACTCAGAGATCAACAAGTGGTTCTGTCATGGTGGTAGTTAAAGCCTCTGAATGTAGTAACTGAATGTGACGATCACCATCCCACTGGGGAGAGGGTGGGTGCATTTGTGAATGTGTATGTGATAGCTGGATTATGTCAGGCAGGAGGCACAGATGAAATTGCAGGAACGGAAAGGAGAGTGTGTGCAATTTATACTCAGCCATGGTGTTTTCCATCTACACGCCTTCTATGCAGATGGCCACACCCACGATGCCTGCTAAAGGAGGCCAGACAGACCACGGAAAGACAGAGTAAGCTGAAGTTATGAGGAAGCAGAAACTAGGAGGTAGCAAAAGTTCTTGGCTATCAAAGAGATAAAGAGTCAAGAATAAGGAAGCCAATAGGTAGAGGGAGGAGCAGGAGAAAGACAGGCAGAAGCCAACACTCAGGAAGTAGCTGAGTTAGATTAACGACAAGGAACTATGGTTATCGTTCAGGGATTCCTGATGGAATGTCCTCTGGTCAAGAATGAACAATCTTCCAGTTCAGGCCTCTATGAAGCGTGGCCACCCAATCATTCTTGCCTTTGAATTTTGATGAAATTCCATCTCCTCATTAATCTTTCCAATAAAATCCCATTTCATGAGCAAGTCCAACTGAAACTGGAGCTCCTCTCAAATAATATTAAATGGGAAGTTCCTTAATTAGATTTAATAATTTATTTGTAGTGTTTTTTACCTTGATCACTTCCAGATAATATTTGAATGAGATTGGTTAATTGTAAGCCCAGTCCTATTCCCAAAACAGTGGATGTATTTCCAGGATAAATAGATCCTATTGAAAATTTATCCTTCCTCTTTCTATCAAAGGCTTGCTTGGGATCACAAAACAAGAAGGCGGAAGATGATTTGGGAAATTAAGGGAATAAAAGGAAACTATCCACCTGTTAAATGCAAGAGACTTTTATAGATATTATGAAAAAAAAATTGAGCCAACTCTTTTCATGCTTTTCTACTCTCTGCACACAATATCAACAACATCATTTTTTTACAATCAAAAAAAATTTTTAAACAGAAAAAGCAGCAGCATTTTAGGAAGGTAGAAAACAGGAACCCATTGTTTTTAGGGTCCCCCCCCAAATGTGGGGGGAAGAATTGCTAAACGTGGAAGAGTTTTTTAATTCTTTCTTAAGCAGTCTGTGACAGTGAAGTGTGGCTTGTATCCTAATCTTCCTTGTAAAACCAACCAAGGTACCACAGTTTTAAAGCCATTATACTCCGTGGTGTAAAGAAATTTCAAAGTTAGTTCCTTTTTTTGTAGCTGTGATGAATTTGCACATTCTTTTAGCACTATGCATCCAAGGACGAGATTCCCTGAGTGCTTTCTGCACCGCTGAAAACCGACCAAGCAACAGTAAGTAAAAATAAATCTTCACAGCCCCAGTGCAGAGCTCTGAATTTCCATGACGCCTTTCACACTAAGCAGTGGAACAGCAGGCCCTTAGTCAGAAATGTGAACAGAATTCCAACTCAGTTAATTTTTTTCTGTATCAGCTATTACACACCCTGTACATTGTTTTTGGTATTTAGATAGTATTTATATTTAAATACCATAATACAGTTCAACTCCTCAGAAAACTCTTCCAAGGTTATATAATTTATGCAGGCTCATACGGAATTCACGGAATTCATAAGAAAAAAGTAAATTATAATGTCTTACCTTCCATTCTTATTTTTAGACACATTGGAATTTACTTCAATTAACTTTTCCAGGTCTTGGTCTCTATAGAAAAAAAAAAAAAATATATATATATATATATATATATATGTATATACACACATGCACACATACATAATTTAGTTACAATATAATTTTAGGAAATACATATTAGAATAAAATTTTTAAAAATCAGTACATAATCTTAGAAACAGTCATTTGTAGGCTAGAATGATATGGAATATTGAAAAATCTGACATCAAACTATTTGATCTATACAACTCAAGTATGAGAGCATGGATTACATCATGAGAGAGAAATAAAAAACTAGTTTTTTGGAAGGTTTGAGAAATCTGGTCTGAAAAGAAACAACTGACTGATATTCATATTCAGGTAACACTGAATGAGTGCTAACTTTGTGTCACAAAGTACTAACTATATTTCCTCATGGATTATCTCATTCAGATCTCACAAAATCCTGCAGGACAGCACCTGGGGCTCAGAAAGGCTAAATGAATGTTCCAAGGTCAATTAACAAATTTGTAAAAGAGTCAAGATTTGAGGCCGAGCCACCTGCCCATCTGAAATCAATTCTTGGATATTCAATTAGAACTGCATTCCAGCTTTTTGGATCACAGACACCTGAGAAGTCAACCCCAAATTTGAATAAATAATTCACAATGTGGAGGATAAATGGAATGATTAGATTCTTAAATCTTGGGCTGCAGTAACGATTTGACACCCTCTCATGAGAGACAATGTTCTCTGGTATGTTCTTTATATATTTGCTATAACACTGGTAGATCTTGATTTTTTTTTCGTGAGTTTGGAAAAGCCTTTGTCATGAACCGTATGGGTTAGCAGCATCGTTCAGGAGTCAGAACAATGAGGCCATCTCTTCCCCTACTTCCTTGGGCAAGCTAATCAACCTTTCCAAGCTTCATTTTGTAAACCAAGATAACAATACCTAATCTCATAAGTTGTGGTGGGAACGAATGAGTTAATGTAAATAAAATTTGTGTCACAATGACTCCCGTTGTGGGTGAACTGAAGAAGTGTAAATGAACGTTAGTAGAAGTGCAGTGACACAGCAGTAGGCACTAGTGAGTCCAAAATTTTGAGAGACTACCTTTTCAGTTTTATTTCTGCTCTGGCCTTTTACATGTGTGGAATTAACTCCAGTTTTTATAATTCTCCCTTCTCTTGGTCCCGAGCAGTGGATTTAAAGAAGGTTATCATACTTGGAATTAGTATATGGACTCTCACTCACAAAATTAATATTGATAAGGATGAAAAATAAGATAAAAGTTCTCATATTTATACGGAATGAGATTTAATACTCTTTTTATATAACATCCAAACCATCAATAATTGATAAATTTGCAAACTAAGCAGCATTCCATAGCTACACTTAAACTTCACATTTAAAGTACTAGCTGCATATTTTTAAAAATATAAAAATCGTTAAATTATTTTTTAATGTGAGTTACAGCAGAAAATATTCCAATTAGTATATTAAAAAAGCACAGGATTTCAGTAGTAGTTCAGAAGTATCAAAATCATTTGATTCGGCAGTCTGAATGATATAGAATTCAAAATTGACTTCCTCAAGATAACTACTACAACTGAGTAAGGATACCCCCCAGCTCGCATCCTTCAAATTTAGAAATGGAAACTGAGGGCTTTGCATTGGCCTAACCCCTGATGGTCCTTCACTAAGTACTAGAGCCACATTTTTGGCCTCAGGGGCCACCGTACTTTCTTAATAGCCCAGACATTGTCATCCTCCCCTTCACACTTTAAAGTAATACTTTACTACTAAATACTTGGGGACAATAGAATAAAACTAAGTGAAGTATCATGGTATTCCATAATCCAGTTTCCTAGGAATGCCAAACTGGGATGGTTGGCAATGGTAAATAGTGAAAGATGGCCAGGAAATGTGAGTATTGCAGAATTAGAATTTTGCCCCAGGAAATGATTCTCCTTGTCCTGCTAACCTTGGATAAACCCAGTACCATTCTATAAGGAAGCTGGTGATTTTCATTATGACTTGGGAGTACAGTCACATTACCATGGCCTAACATGGCCTTGCATGTAGTAGCTGCTCCAAAAATACTTGTAGAGTTAAATTCAGTTCTCTTTTCCTCCTTCTCTGGGGGAAATCTATTACTGCCTTACCTAGCTCTGGGAAAAGACATTTCCCAAGGGAAAGATATTAGACCCTGAACCTTTAAGGCAATCAGTCAGCTCCACCCACATCCAGGTACATAGTGTACATGATGATCATGTAGAAAAAGATTAGTAAAGCCAGTGGTGGACATTTCACCTCTATTTGTGTCAATCACCCAGAACCTGCCTTACTTCATCCTTGAATTGTAGATATTTCTTTCCTTTTTTCATAGCTCTCAATCCTGGCTTTGTTTCCTTATTTGGGGATGTTGTTATGGGTCCAGTCCTGCCCCCTGCTCCAAATTCACATGTTGAAGTTCTAATGCCAGTATGTCAGAATGTGACTTTATTTGGAGATGGGTTCTTTACAGAGGTAATCAAGTATAAATGAGGTCATTAGGGTGGTCCCTAATCCAATACGATGGGTATCCTTATGAGAAGAAGAAATTTGGACTCAGACACACATAGATGGAAGACAACGTGAAGACACAGGGTGAAGACAAGCCAAGGAGAGAGGCCTAGAGTAGACCCACCCTCTCTGCCCTCAGAAGAAACCAGCGCTACTGACATCTTGATCTTGAGTTCTAGGCTCCAGAACTGTGAGAAAATACATTTTTGTTTTAAGCCATCCAGTCTGTGGCACTTTGTTCTGGCAGCCCTCACAAATTAATACAGATCTGCTTCTGCCCTCACAACACGATTACCTGTAGTTTCTCTGCCTGATGCTGGACATCCTCACTTTCTCTGGCACTTTCCTGTCTTAGCTGCTTCAGACACTGCATCTTTGCTCTGCTTACACTTTTCCCCCTTTCCCCACCTAGTACCCAAGCCTTTTTGGACACCAGCTCTTGTGAGGGAGACCAGGAATGGATTTGGACGTGAGGAAGGAGAAGAAATCAGAATCTTACAAATCCAACAACTACAGGTAGATAACTCAAAACTGGACCTATTCATGCCTTCAAAGAAGTACATTCCCAAACTGGTATAATTGCAAACCATCAAATAAACCATTTTATTAGTGGTTTCATAGAATTTTTGTTATTTTTATTAAACAGTATCACCTATCAGGTTTGGTAGAGTGGATTATAAAATTTTAATCTGAATAATCTACACTAATACTTAAAGCAAAATAGAAAGTTCCAGATTATGAAAAGTACAAAATGTGTATTTGCTTGTTCACCCTGGTTGATGTCATCAGCTAGATTTGAAGATCCAATAAAAGAAGTTCAGATTGCCCATAAACTCCTCAAGTTGAAAGATTTAAAAATAAATTTCATTCTTTAATTAAGACCACGTCTATTGCATCATGTCTTTTACACCACGGTAGAAGATGAAGAGCTGTGAGTCCAAGTGTGAAAAACCGACTTTTATAGAAGCCCAGCAAATGCTGCAGGGTCGAGCAAAGGCTTGATTCCAAACCCTTTTCACGGCAGTTGCAGTGGAAGGAAGACCTTATAATCCTGACTTGTATAATTTATGAGTAGTTGGAATTAACTCCAAGAAAAGTCACCAATTCTCTGTGATACAGTGAAAAATGCTAAAAAGAAACTGTTGTTAGTTATTGCAACTAAAAATGCTTTTTTAAATGTAGATTTTGAAACATTTAGGAGAAAATATGTTATCTATTTGGAAGGTCATAGCACAAATTTTGAATATAGGCATTTATCCATGTTATAATAATGTAATTTGTTTTTCACTGCCCCACTAAGGAATACGACAGTCCCTTACAGGGCAGATTAAGAAAAAAATACAGATTCTGGGGACCAAGTTATTATCATGTTTCTTATACAACTTTTCCTAGGATAAGCTCTTCATGAGCTTATCAGCTCACTCCCAACTGCTCTTCCTCTCTTATGAGAGTGTGGGAGGTATTTATTAAGAGCTGCAATATGTTTCTCGCTATATAGCTTACTTAAATTGCTTTTGTAGAGTATCAAACACATTTGCAAAATTAAGAGCCTCCATATAAAAAATTTACTATGGTACTTCTTTTTTGCCAAGAACTAAATCTTAGGCACTAAGCTTTAGTTCAAAAGGAATATTTGTCTCTCTGAAAGGAGTGTAGAATACAGTTAGATAACCGGTATAATTCTCCAACAATGCTATTGACATGGCAAAATGGGTCCAGCTTTATATATTTTCATAATTCATTTCAATGAGGGAGTCTTATAGATTTTAAATTAAAGAAATTAACAGGTCTATAGAGAAACTGGACACTTTAGGTATTTTAAGATGCGACCAAGAATTTCAGTGGCTCTAATTCACCAGGGTTCATTGAGATTATGTCATGGGCAAGAGGCAGTCATTTGCTTAAGCAAGGAGATCAGTCTTATATCAGATTCCTTTAGTCTGGTTTCATTCACAGGGGCTCGGAATATTAGAGTTGAAAAGAAATAGGCTTTACCTAGTGGATGATCACAGGGCCTCAATTAGTTTGAGATTTAACCTTTAATTCACAGAATATTTGTTAGGCACCTAGTGTATGCCAGGCATTGTGCTATGCCCTGTAGATAGAAATGAACAAGACAAACCCAATCCTTGCCATTAAAAATCCTATAGTCAGAGAGAGATGATTAAATAATAATTCTCTCTAAGAGACGAATGCCATGGGATGGGGAAGACAGAGAGCTTGATCATATCTAGAAGAAGCATCTGATGCAGATGTAATGGGCCAATGGGGCTTCCCAGAGCCTGAGAGAGAGACATTTAAGCTGACATCTAAAGGATAAGTAGAAGTTATCTATGCAACAGCGATGAAGGAGGAATGAGGAGTGTGAGAGTCAGGGTGTGTGTGAGAGTAGGGATTGCTTGGAGGTGGAGGGTAATAGGGGAGGGGAGTAGAAAGGTCTCTGGAGGCAGGATTGGTGGGCTTTGGAAACCAGGTTAAGGAGTACAGCACCTATCCAATGGCAGTGGGAAGCTACTGAAGGATTTCATCAGAAGAATGAGGTGATCAGATTTGTGTTTTAGGAAGATCACTCTACAATATGGCAAATAGAAGGGCAAAAGGAAGACTGGCAGCAGAGGGACCAATTAGGGGACTGCAGAATAATCTAGACAGTAGTGGCGGGGATGTTGAAGTGTCTCAGTTCCTGAGATAATTAGAAGCATCCAAAGTGACCTATTGATCACCAGAATTGAAGCAATGGAAAGAGTCAAGGTTACCCCTTCCCAGATTTCTGTCTCAAGGAAAAATATGAGAAATATGCAATAGGAAGATGGAAAGGAACTCTTATTGGAACACTAAAAACTTGAAGGTATGTGTCTTAGCAAATAGGAAGCCCTTAAAAAGATGGAAGGATGATACTACAAATAGTTTAGAATTTCTTTTTCTACTTCAGATGAAGGATGTTTTTTCTAACTGTAAAAGCCCAAGTGTCACTAGATGCTTTTCAATCTTCATTTGGGGGCAGCAGTTTATAGGCTGCAGATAAGTGGATATCTCTCTTTAATGTCTGTTCACCAAAATGTGAAACTGTCATCACCAGAAGTCATGCAGTTTCTCCCTGAATAAATGAAAATTCTGTGCACATCTGCATTCATTCAGGTTATTGTGTTCCTAGAAGGAGCTCAGGGACACCTGCTTACATTCTGATCAATGACTGGAGTTTATTCTGCCCCTAACTGTGAATTAAATAGACAGCTGCTGGAAATGCCAGCAAAGTCAGATAAAAAGAACTCTGATTCACTGCTGTTACACTATTAAATAATCAGTGCTCATGTCACACTGAATTGGATATAAAAGTGTATTGTGGCTGGCATTCCTAGGTGGAGGCACTTTAAAATGCCCCCTCTCTCTACCCGTTAAAATCAAGTGGGCAGCATAGACACACTATAGATACATGTGACTGAACCAATTGAATGAAGTCACTTTTTTTCAAATAGGCAGCTTTCCTGTTTGTCTGTTCTGTGATAATTCTTGAACATTCTGGCTGATTATGATCAAATCTGGTGTAACCACTAAAGAATAGTCAGACGTTGCTTAGGTTAGATCTGTGGATCAAGCTGCCATCCGAAAGCAACATCATGGTCAATATTTTTAAATTTCCTTTTTATAGTAATCCATCTATATAAAGGAAATCTCTCCTTTTTATAGATATTTTATTAGGGGTTGCTGAAATACAAACTACCTTTTTATAAAATTAACCTCTTCTAATGAGGCAAAACTCTTATGAGAAAGTTACCATTGTCTGTCAACATAACACGTTTCCCAGAGGGAGGGAGGAGGGAAGGAGGAGAAAGTAAGAAGGGCAAAGTGAGAGAGGGAGGGAAGTGCATTTTGTGGACTCGGCCACCGAGCGACGAACTGGCTACAGTAGAAGATACCGTGAGTTATTCCACATGTGGTTATTAAACCTAACCTCTTCCAGCATGGTTGGGAACCTCCTGAAACTGTTACTAATAGAAAGAAAAATCTACCCCAACCAATACCACTGTGAAGAAGTGGTTCTACTTAGCAAAGATATTTCCATACAATTATCAGTGGCAGGGTTGACACCCAAAATCTGCTGTTATTTCAGCTATGGGAAAACCTCTGTGAGACAAGTACTTTGTCTCCTCCCTGCCATTTTAACAATACTTTTCTAGAATAAATGTATCTAATTGTAGTCCTTTCACTCCCGGGCGGGAGGGGCATTGGAAGGGAAGCGACTGCAGAGAGTATGAAGGATGGAAAGAAGAGGAGAGTCTGAGCTTTTGTTTTTCACAGAACTTTTGTTTGTACTCGAGGTAATGACATCAGAAGGACTTGAGTTTAGATCCAGGATGTATTTTCTTTCTTGAGAAGGTTATTTCATGTCTTTGAGCTATAGTTTTCTCTTCTGTAAAATAGGGTGTATGACATGTTTGTCATGGGATGGCTGTGAGGATTAAATGTATATAAATTGCCAGTCACACCATCAGTGCTCAATAAATGCTACTCTCTAAGTAGCAATTGCTCTTCAGTTACCTTTGTACCTTCCCGCTTCAGAGACGCCAACACCCCAGTGATAAAAACGTACAAAAAAGAAAAAGCAAAATAAAGCACTAATGTAGAAAACAAACTAGGAGACATAAGAGCTTGGTCAATGAGTACATTACACTGTCCTCTTTCTCCCAGCGAGTTCAAAACACTTTTCCATATGTTAATTTGCTTTCTTCATCCAGAACATTGAGACTGTGATTCCCAGCTATATGATTATTATGATAACATTTCAAGTCAGCAGAAGTATTTGGACATTTAATACAATACACTCCAGCGTGTTATCTATTATCTATTAATAAAGCCCTTTTGGTGAAAGATATGACATAAGGACAGTGAATTATAAGATATTTGCAGAACTCAAAATGGAAGTTCAAGGTTAAAATCTGCTGTAATATTTTGCGAGCTCGCACTAGCTGTGGTTCCGTAATTCTGAAGACCCTGAATACCCTTTCCGATGCTCTGTAGGCATCCATGTAAACCACCAGTTAGGTTCAGCTTCTCCAAAATACTTTTTCTTCTTATTTAATTTCATTCATTTTCCATTTCAGTCCTGACACTTCATTTCCTATAAACAACAAATACTAAGTTGTCTTAGTGCAAATAAAAAGCACAGAATTGAGTGCAAAATAGTGCAATTGATTCCAAAAGAATGCAAGGTTTCCTTGCTGACAGGAGATACATGGGTTATCAATGTGTCCTTATTGGAACACTAAAGAAAAAGAGAAGGCTTCTTTAAAAGAGAGAGAGAGAAAAAGAGAAAATTCCTAACCTAGAATGTTGAGAACCTGTCAAGATAGTTAGACAAAGTCACTTACCGCTCCATGTTTCTGAGAGCTGAAGGTTTCACTTTAATAAGATTGTCCAAGTCTTGGCTATTCAACACAGAAAAAAAGATGTTCAGATTAGTGATAGGTTTTTTGGTTGTGCTAGGTCAATAAAACAACATTTTATTTTATTTTACTGAGGTAACATTGGTTTATAACATTATATAAATTTCAGGTGTACATCATTATGTGTCGATTTCTGTGTAGACTACATCATGTTCACCACCCAAAGACTAATTACTATCCATCACCATACACAGGTGCCTTATCACCCCTTTTACCCTCCTCCCTCCCTGGTTCCCCTCTGGTAACCAATCTATTCTCTGTAACTGTGCAAATAAAACAACACTTTAAATCCACTCCATGCAGGGGCAACAGACAGATGAAAGTGTGAAATGATTGCTTTTATTTGATTACCTCTGATTGCTTCTGATTACTGCAGGATTCACTTTGATGAGGTTATCAAAATCCTTGTTTCTTTAAATAGAAAAAAAAAAGAAAGCCAGATATTATAAAGTTCTTTTGGTAAGATCATTAAGGTCATAAATCTTCTTGAAATGATAATAAAACAAAATATTCTTCCTGACCAAAGTACAAAAATGAATATAGTTCTATTACCTTCGATTGTTGGTGAGAGTTTCAGGATTCACTTTGATGAGTTTATCAAGATCTTGATTTCTTTAAGTGGAAAAACATTAAAGCAGCTTGGGTTAGAGATAATATGAGGGTAAATTGGTTGGAAATAGGAAGAAAGGATTAGCCATCTTATCATTTAGAATGAGACATACTGGTTTAGCATAGGACAGCCTTGAAATAAATTTTTTAACCAATCTAGGGTAGGATGAATTTTGCTGGGTCAGAAAATAAACTACTCTTACTTTACATACTTTATTGCCAGAGCACACCCACAAGAGCATGCTCCCTAAGTGTTCACGGCAAACATCCGGTGATTAACCACTTTTCACTCTCGAATGTTTTCACATTACAAATATATAAACTGATTTTAATGTCCTTGTTATTTTTAAAATCACATTCACGAACTAAAGATATTTTTTGAAACAATAATAAGCTCTAAAATTGGGATTGTACTTAACATAAGGCTTGGCAAAGAGAGTTCCAGCAATCCATCAAAATTGTAACCTTTCTTTTCTCTACAATGACTAAAAAGACAAATTAAAATCAGTTGTTCATGGTCAAATTACATACTCTGAAAACTATCCACTTTCTATTTGAAGTCCTACCAGTTTCTTTTCTCAGTCACAGAACAGTATTTCCTCCCACGTGGTTTGTTGTCATTCACTGTCTCAGCATAATACCTTGTTTTGAGGGTTGGAAAGTAGTGATTTTTCAAAGTGTTCCTCTAAATCCCTTTTTAATAGTTATTCAAAGAAATACAATAGCCTGCCATGGCAAGAAATCACAGGACTGATGACATCCGCTTCCAGTACCATCTTGGACAGCAATATCGCTGCGCTCCTTTCCCCCTAAGAGTCCTTTTTCCTTACACAAAAATGAAATACATTTCACTCATCAAAAAGACTGATGCAAGGTTAAGAACTGAAGGGGAACCACTTACAGGTTAACCGTCAGATAGGTCTGAGAAAGGTCTGCATTTCCCTTCCCCAGTCTTAAACCTTTCTGCAGAACGCGCTTCCCAGCTCATGGTTCCACTCAGTTTGGTCTGGTCCTCATTGTTCTCAGGTTTCCATGGTAGACAGACAACCCCTAACTGAATTTTCACTGTTTTGAATTACCTTCAAAATAATATTCTCAACTAAAGATAATCAACTGATGTCTACAAATACTATTAAAGGAATGATTAACAAATGAGAACTATTCAAAATATTATTTCCTTTCATAAATTGATTGCAAAATCTGTTATAAAACTGAGCTGTGCCTGGAACACAACAATCTTTAAAATGAGGTTAATTTCACATATTGCAAAAAAAATACAAGAATAAAACTTTGTAGAGGAGATAATATGTTCAAAGGCCACAACCTTTTCACGTAAAATTAATCACAATATTTTTTAGTGTAACTATGTTTAATATTCATGTACCAGCATAATTAAGAGTAAGCTGCACAGAAAGTGCAAACACAAACGTGAGAACTTCCATTTTCACTGTTCTGCTGAGCACAGAGAATTTGATTCATTCAACAACCTGAAACAGTGACATTCAAACTACTGTTTCATAAAGTCCATTAAGAAATACATTTTACATCACAGTCCAATACTCTCTTTTCAGACATAAACACACACAATACAATACACATTTCGTGAACTAACACTCTCACTACATTAGAACTCTCATATTTTCTGCTCGATTTAGTTCAATTTAATTGGGAAAAAATGCTGATTGCCACTCCCTAAATTAGTCACAAGACCCTTGAATGAGTTGCAACCCACAGTTTGAGAAACACTGACTAGAAAACATAGGAATGTATGCTATGTTCTACCCCTACACCTAAAAGACAATATCGTGTGTCAATAAAACAAGGATCTCAGTAACAGTCCTGAATTGCCTTGATTGATAGCATCATGCAATTTATCTCAATGAAGTGAAAGCAACAAATTTATAGATATTTTTTTCAGGGCCTGGATACCTGCAAACACAAGAATCTTATGTCTAAATTTAACCTGGAAAAATGTAACATTTTTCCTACTCAAGTTACTGCTTTTACTTATTTTGCTTTAAGGATGTAGTAAAGGGATAAACAGAATATTTAGCTGTGATTACTTCCATGTACTTTAAAAGCTGTAAAGAGCTTTGTAGTCATTTGCACATTTGTGCTGTTGTCATCTATGAAGTAATCTTTCAAAGGACACCTCCTGGCTGTCCCATGACAGGAGCAACAATCCTAGCTTTATAGCCTCTGCTATTTCCTGAGGTGCTTAATTAACTCATTTATTTTAAGATCAAAGTCTGTGTACTGTGGTTTAAAGACCAAGAGGTGGGCTGGGAGTTAGAAGAACTCACATAAGACTCTGAGATTTTTGCCCCTGGCCTCAGTATTCTCATCTGTGAAATGAAGAGATTGGATTGGATCATCTCCAAGGTTCTGTCCTCTCTAACATCCTCTACTCCTGGGAAAGGATGAATGTGAAGTTGACTGCCTGTCGTGTTTATTAAGTTATCTATTCAATGTCTCTTTTTCTTTTTAAATGCAATGCACCGACAATGCATTTTATATTCAGCAAGTAGTACATGAATATTCCAAAAATGTAATATATTAAATTGACAACCTATTATTGTCCTGGAGTAACATTTCTGTGCCCCTGGTACATAATTAGCTTTAATCTATGATAATTGCCTGCTGTTAATAAGATTGAGTATGTCTACCGAATTCTCTTTTTGGCGTTCACAGCCTGTAATTATACCTAATGTGCAACTAATGATACCTAGTTGTAAGCTTCAAACCCAGTAGGTGCTCAGTAATTATTCACTGCCTAACAGATCACAGAACTACTATCAGTCTTCCACTAGTTTTCTCTGTGACCCTGGTCAAATCACTTAACTTTTCTGATTCTTCATTTCCTCTTCTGTAAATTGAATAGGTTTGGCTGAAACAGTGGTTTTCAAAATTGTTCAAACTAATGGGGCTATGAGTTCTCTGAGGTTCCCTCCCTCTAGCTCTAAAATTCTGCAATTTTTATATGTACCAACTAAATTCAAAAAGGAAAATCATGAAAGCATTTTTAAGATATATTTATTAGTAGTGTATAATGATATAAAAATATTCATATAACCAGAGACAAAAAGTGAATTTCATCATCTTACAGACACTACTTAAAGTATTATCAAATTTTAGGTCCATAACTTTGCTGGGAGCAGTAAACCATCTAAGAAGCAATGACTCTCATGACATTTCCACTGACTAACAGAAAACACTCTTTGAAAACGAGGTGAATGATATTGCTGGTGATGAATCTAATGAAGCGTCTGGTCTTTTTTTCTAATTAACTATCATTAATAAATTTTAATCAGTTTCAGACAAAGGCATTAACATCAGTCCTATAAAACAAACAGTGCATAGACTAGCTGTGCTGTGCCCTAGTCACTCCTTCTAATTGCTTTCCTTGAGGCTGAAAGAAGTGAAGCCACCATCACATATTTTCCAGCTGCCCCTCTTTCTTGCTAGCAACAAATGGTTAAATATCTGTTTCCAGGGACATACAAAAATTGTGATGCTTTTCAAGACTTATATTCAATTTGCCCACAGAATGATTATAAGTGATTTATATTCATATTGTGTTTAGTTAAGGAGAAACAAAACAAAACAAATAAATAACATCCTTCTCTTACCCAGCCATGTTTTTGGCAGCTTTGGAGCTTACATTAATATGTTCATCAAGACCTTGTTCACTACTAAAACAAAATAAAATAAAAGGTCACATTCAGTTGGAAATCAGCAAATTTTATGATCAGTATGTTTTCTTTTGACAGTTGTGAATCATTCAACGCGATCCCAGATAAAAACTAATGTTAACTGAGTTTCTACTTTATGAAGTTTTTAAAAATTCTCAAAACAATCTAGTGAGGTAGATATGATCATCCTGCCTTTATAAATAAAGAAATTGAGCTTCATATAAGTTAAGGTACTCCTTGGGCCCAAGTACCTAAGAAGTGGCTGAGGGTGAACCAGGATTGAAACCATAGCAGCTGGACCCCAAACCTCATGCTTCCTCCTGCTGACATCCTTCCTTCCAATATGTTCACAATAATTCCTTCCATCTGCATAATGCTTTCATCAATGTTATCATCACAATAATTCTGGGAGGTAGCGTAGAGTTACTCTGTCATGCTTTCTTTTTTTTTTTGGTGAGGATGATTGGTCCTAAGCTAACATCTCTGTTGCCAATCTTCTTCTTTTTCTTGAGGAAGATTGTCCCTGAGCTAACACCTGTGCCAATCTTCCTCTATTTTGTAGGTGGGTCACTGCCACAGCATGGCTTGATAAGCAGTGCATAGGTCTGCACCTGGGATCTGAACCCATGAACTCCAGGCCACTGAGGCAGAGTGCGCAATTTAAATACTGTGCCACAGGGCTAGCCCCATTGTCATGCTTTCCTAAATTTTGTTCCAGGGTATAATGGGTCTTAACTTCTCAAGAAGACAGAAGTATATTTAATGTCATGAAAAAATATTCTAATCAAGTATATGAATGCTGTGTCACCTTCTCAAGAGTCATTTAAAAATTAATCCTTGGGTTTGTGAAAGAGTAGAAAGCCAACATTCTTTGGTTTATTCAGTTTTATGAACTTACAATTTGTTAACTATACATTTACAGTAATAATCTAGTTATGTGATTGCATCAAAATGAATTTTTCAAGTAGTAATTAAACAAAATTAGTTTCAATATTATAATTTTAAACAATATTATAATGAAATAAATTGAAGCTATAATAAAAGAAGAATCTATCCGAGATTATTAAACATCAACAAATTAATATGTTCTCATTTTTTTATGTCTCCTTTCAAAATGTCCTAAAATATACAATTAATCTTATTTTTTGGCATAATTTGGAGACTTGCTCAGGAGTCTTCAACAGTCTTGATAAGCTTACCTTTTGTTTGCTGAGGGAATCACTTTGATAAGATTGTCCAGGTCTTTGTTCCTAAAAATATATTGTAAGTTTCAATAGCTGGTAAAATCAACTAAAATAAATAATAATTTACACATTTTTTCAACTTTAATATTGAATTAAGTGACTGTTGCTAATTTAAAACTTCATCATTACTTGAATTCCCTTTTTAGCTCTATGTAAAAGCAGTTGGCTACTATCAATCCATTTCTTACACAACTATGTACATATGAGAATTTAATTTAGTTTTAGTCATATTCCTTTCAAGACAACCTCAAATTTAAATTACTCTTAAACTCCTAATTTCCCATATTATATTTTGCAGTAGGATTAATATTTGGAATACTTTTGAAGGTTGTAATCAATAAGAGAAAAATGTAAAACTTTTCATCATTTCCATGTGCTCCTTGCTTCCCTTCAAAACAAAACCTAGGACGTAACAAAAAAAAGAGTTACGTCCTGATTCTAAGGTATGCAGGTAATAGACATAATGTGAATATGTAATATTGAGGCTATTCCAAGATATTAATCAAATCACTTTAGAATCGTACTTCATGCAATGCTAAATCAGAACAAGCAAGACTTCAGATTACACACCTTGTTTTTACTCCAAATGCTCAAATAGGCAGTCATAGCTCTAAAAAGGCCTTTCTATTATCACACTGGACTCTTATCCCAACTGTAACACCAAAAGGCCTGAACAAGAGGCTTAATCTGATATACCTTATTATTGGATGATATGTTATATATCCCAAAGAAAAAAGGACCAGAAAGGCTTATATCACTTAACTAATCTCTAGGATTAACCTATAAACTAATTTTACCATGCACATATCCTTGCATGTAAATTACTGCATTCTACTATGTTGAACTACATGAAATTGTCATTTTATAGATTCAAACATGGTTGACAGTCAATAATTTTGTAAGGTTCAACCTAATAGGATAATTTCTTTGCTATCTTCTCTGAATTAAGCATTGAGTGGTGCTATGGGACCCAACAATGAAGAAAAAATAGTAACTAATAATAATACCAATAGACAATGTCTAATAAGTACTTGAGCATTCAGTGCTTTACAAGCTTGATCTCATCTAATTTTTCTAGGAACTCATGAAGAAGTTAACTCTTACGATCCCCACTTTACAGATAAAGAAGCTGAGGCTTAAAGGGGATTAAGTGATTCGTCCAAAATTACAGTTAGTAAGTGATCTCTGAACTCAGAAATTTTACTACCAAGTGGAAGAAATGACACATGACCAAATGCAATACACGGTAGCATGCGGGTACTAAAATAGAGGCCCAAAGACTGTGCAGTAAAGGTCATATGATTAAGGCCATCTTCACCTTTAGATACTAAGTTATCTTGGAAGACGAACAAGGGACATCTATCTTTCTCTGAATCTTAATCTGTAATATAAGGTATTATACGGTCTCTGGATTCAGTACCTGACCCTCAGAAAATAATAATAACATTATATTCTCATTTAGTGATCAAAATCTAAGGACAATTTAGCACTAAATATTCAGGTAAAAGAATGATGGAATTTTTTATCTAACCATAAAATAAATAAAACGATATAAGTAAGGGAGAGGAGGATGGGCAGCAGGCTGTGTTCTGGCAGCTGCCCCAAATACATTCAGAGTTGATCCTCCTGCCCTACCCACATGAAATACTATCTAGTCCAGGGGTGAGCAATCTGCGGTTCTCAAACTAAATCCAGCCTGCAGTCTGGATTTGTAAATAAAGTTTTATTGGCACACAGCCATGCCTATTCATTTACAATGTATCATCTGTGGCTGTTAGTTGACTAGTTCAAACGGAGACTATTTTGGCCCCCCAAACCTCAAATATCTACTATCTATGCTGACCCCTGATGTAGTCTATTAAACTTTAAATGATAGTAAAAATAGAGAGTATTCCTATATGCAAAGTAAGATAGGAAATCTGTCAGAAAGAAGATACATACTTTGGTATCTTTTGTATTTAACTTATGTTCCAACTAGTGTAACAATGTATGTTTATAGCTCCACAGTTTTGTCATGTCTCTTAGATTACATAACATGATGTGCCTTAGAGAAAATTCTCTCTATATAAAAGAAAAACGTCCTTCTTTGTATTCTTCTTTATTTCAATGAACTGAGTATAATTCTTGAAAACCATCTCCCAACTTTAGGAAGTGTTTGGGCGGCAGACAGAAAGAGGAGAGGGAATGGATGATGGAGGAAGAAAGGAGAATTTTTGTTCACATGAAGATCTTCCTTTAGACTGCTCAGCTCTAAGAAATTGTTTTGGGATGTTGTTTCATCTCATGGGGAATCCCAATTCATTTTGAGGAAATCCCAAGTGTGGGACATAAATCTTACATTGATATGAGATATTTTAAGGAATTCCCTCCCCTCCACTAAAGCTCACAGCTAGGGAGCCTGGAGCAAGGACTTGAACACCAGGTTTCTGACAGAAAGCTGTTGATTTTGGGTCCGTTACTGGCTGTCTCTATGGTGTGACAACAAATTCTATCATATTTTCAAGTTGAATAGAAAAAAAATGGAGAGCGAGAAGAGTTCCATAAACCTCACCCTTGGTTAGTTCTGTTTGTTTCAGGAGCCACTTTGATGAGGCTGTCAAGACTTTGGGCCCTATAAAACATGGAACAAATGATCAGATCCATGGTCAATTTACATCATGTGATTGCAAATATTTGTTAAAGCTGAGAAACATTTTTTCTTATAAAATACTTTATTATAAAATATTTATTAAAACAGAGATCACCTCAACAGTTTTTCAGTGCTGACTATGAATATATACTTTTGGACCTAACTATAACTGCATAGAAATAATAAACAATAACTAATGGTTTTAGACAATTCATGACATGCTGGGCATTGTCCTAAGTGATTTACATGATTTATATAAGTCAGTCCTCCCATCAATCCTTTGCCATAGGAAGCATTATCATTCCAATTTCACAAAGGGAAAAGTTGAGACACATAAAGATTAAGTTTTTCGCACGTAGGTAGTAGCGGCAGGGCTGGAATTTAAAGGTAAATAATCTAACTCCATGTTAGATAAACCACACGTGCTTTTCCATGACACCAACCCATCTTACTGGAACTTAGTAACTGAATTAGCGTTGGAAGTGACTAGAGCGTACTTGGTCCGGTTTCCTCACGTTGAGGATGAGAAAACTGAAGTCCAAACAGGGGAAGTGACCAGTCCCATTTCGCACAGTCAGTGAGGGGCAGAGCCAGGCTATGAGCTCCGTTCTTTCCCCTTGCCTGTGCCACCTTCTACTTAAGAAAAATAAACAAATCAACAAATAAAAGTGTCCTGTCCATCCTGGGAAAACAACTGTGCATCTAATGAATCAAAGGGTACCTCCCTTACATTAGAAATCAGTTGACCAAAATCTTTAACATTCCAGATGTGAGGTCATGAGGGTTGCATGGCTTTTCTTGAACTATTATTGACTTCAGTGTCAGTCTGCTGAAATGATAATTTAATTATGTTTGTAAGCATTGGTTAGTGTGAAAAAAATAAAAGGAGCGTATTAAATCTTACCCTTGCACACTTTTTCCCATTCTTGGATCCACTTTGATGAGGTTATCAAGGTCTTTGGAACTTTAAACAAAAAAAAAATGATAAGTAAAAATGGAATTAAATCAATTAAGTATTTTAATTGAAAGGATATATGTGCTCAAGATGAATTTTACTATTAAGTTTTGAGAAAAATAAACACCAGTCTATGCCCTTCATTTGAAAAAGTAAAAATTTTGACCTACATACAAATCATTGATATTCTGGCTCAGTTTCCCATTTTACCCTCAAAACGAAATTAGGGCAAGATTGAGTTAAAAAAATCAATTCAGGGACTACATAATGACTTGCCAAAAACTCTCACCTGGCCTCTCTAAATATTCCATCTAATGCTGCCGCTGTAACTAAACTATATTTTGTTAATAATTTCTGTTTGTAGTGCCTTTTTGCTTTAAAGCGGTTTTATGTCTATTATTTCACTTGATTCTTACAACAATCAAGTGACAAAGATGGAACAGACATTATGATCTCGTTTGAGAACTAAAGATGTCTGAGCTCAGAGCGTTCAAGGGACTTGCTCAAAGGCATCCAGCTGGTAATTAATGGAGGTCAGACTTTCTGATTCCAATCCAAAGATTTTTCAACACAGCTTCTCTGATGAGTGCCACAAATTGATGCAGACAGGGAAGGAAGAAAGATAAGACATAATCCTTACCCTGGGGTGCTTCTGTTTACTTCAGGGGTCACTTGGATGAGATTGTCAAGGCTCTGGCCCCTTTAAAACAGAGAAGAAATGAAGAGGTTAATGATCGATTAGGACCAAGTGGATAAAACTATTCACTGAAATTCGAAAACAGTATAAAACACTCATAGATCATGCCAAAGACTTGAAGATGTTAAAAGTGACTATGCAGAAGTATGTAGGGATTTATACATCTCTGACACTCACTGAGACTCAGTGAGACAATATTTTAATCTTGGAGCCATTAGGCCTCTAGCAAACACTGCACTAGCATTCTATCTTTATTTTGATTCATTTAATGCTACGCTCTTAGCCTTTGCCAGGTACACTAAACATTTTTTAGTAGTCTATAGTCGCATCTCATGGAACATTCCAGAAGGCACGCCCTCTACATATCAACTTCCAACACATGGTGGGACTTTTGGACTTTGGAGAATCTGTATTTTGTAAAATTGCCATTCGTTAGCAGCTTTTCTATTCACAACACTGGAATAAGATAAATACACCATTTTGTTAAAGTCCATGATCTGCTTCTATTACTTATAACTGTGTGTTAAAACTACAAATCCTGACTAGTTGGGTGACAACAAACAATAGGAAGATGAAAACCTACAGAGTTCTGAAATGTAAGATGTATTTACTGTAATATAAAACTCCAAGTAGTAACTGAAAACACCTCAGTATTTTATTGTTACCCTTCAGTATATCTGCTTCTGATCTTAATGAAAATTTGCTTTTCTTATCGCATCTACATGTATTTTCCACAAATGCAGTGCCAGGCAATGCTCCTCTGATCTACAAAGGATGCCATGTGGATAAAGAACATCCACAGAAGGTACTTATGTACCCTATTTCTCCATGCCTTCTGGCCAGAGTAAGAGCGTATCACAAAATCTCTGAGGTTGCATCTATACAACATCAAAGATACAGATATTTGGAAGCAACCAGATGTTGACTCAAGTTTTTACTTGTATCCAGATGTCTAAGAATTGTATACCTAAGCTAAAAGCAGCAATAAAAAATTTGGATCTTTTTTATGCAAATAATGAAACAATTAACCCAACAGAAACAACCACTCTACTCCAGAATATTCCTTGTTGATTATTTTTTTTTTTTGCCCTTTGTTGATTTTTGCCTCAATGAAGTATGTGAGATTTGAACGCCAGTGACTGGGAAAAAAACCTTCCAGGATTCTATTTCCAGATTTGAGTACTCAAAAAAATACATAAATAAATAACACAGGAGTATGCCTTGTAAATCCCCCCCTTGTAATATTTGTGTTGGTTGTGGAGTTTGCTTTGATTATATTATAGAGAACTTGATCTCTTTAAACATATTAAATAAAACACATATCAGTCTAAGGTTACTTAAATGTCAAAGTTCATAAAGTCAATGAAGAAGAGGATGCTAATTAATGAGGTAATGTAAAATAATATTTTGAGTTAAACTGTGTGAGGCAATGCCTCATAGTGCATCCATCTTCAATAGTTATGCATTCTCTCAACCCACAAATAGCTATAGAACTTCTACTATTGTCCCCAAGTGCTGGGATGGCTGTGAACAATATAGACACAGGCTTAGCCCTCATGAAGCTTCCATTCTAACTTGGGGAGAGCCAGGCAACATACAATCAAACATACAAATGAGTGCCACAATTCCAGATAACAATATATGTTATAAAGAAAATAAAAAAGGGTGCCTGGTGCCCACGGTGCTGGGGTTGGAGGAGGAGGTGGCAACTTAATTATATTCAGTGATCAGAAGCGGTCTCTTTAAGAAGGTGACAATATGCGGGCAGAGCATTCCCAAAGTGGGAACGGTATATACAGAAGTCTTGAGGCAAGAATGAACCTGGGATAGAAAAAAGAGTAATTTGGCTAGGCTATATTGAACAAGTAAAAGGCCATCGCTAAGGGTTAGATTTTTATTCTACCTGAAATGGGAGAATATTGAAAGTTTTTAGTAAGGGAGGGAGCATGATCTTATTTTACTTTTTTTTCTTTTTTTTTTTTTTTTGCCGAGAAAGATTTACCCTGAGCTAACATCTATTGCTAATCTTCCTCTTTTTGTATGTGAGCTGTCACCACAGCATGGCCACCAAGAGACAAGCGATGTAGGTCAGCGCCTGGGAAGAGACTAGTGGTGTAGGTCTGACCCAGGAACTGAACTCAGGCCACCAAAGTGGAGCTTGCTGAACTTAACCACTAGGCCACTGGGGCTGGCCCAATCTTATTTTACTTTTAAAATATCTACAGAATTTAATTAGGTGTAGTAAAAGAAAATGACAACTACTGTCCCTAAAACCTCCCAGGAAGCACACACATATGAATAGACACACAAACAAACACACATGCACTGCAATGCTCCTACACACATACACACAGGTGCACACACATAGACACCCACGCATATATATACTCATATACATACAAAAGCACACAGATCCACTAACACATATATTTATGCACACACAAGCAAATATGCATATGTATGCGATCACACACATACATTTGCACAGACACGCACACACCCATACATATGCACTCACATACACTCATAGGCACACATATACACTCATGCACACACAAGCATACACACATAAATGCATACAAACATTTGTACATACATATGCATGCACACACACACACCAACATATGAAAAACAATAGGTTATGATTTGAAATATTCTCTTTAATAAAAATTGGAAAGAAAAACATGGATTTTTCTTGGAGAGTCAAAGAAAATTAAGTATTTGAACAGTATCTAAATCACTAAGAAAATATAATTCATGTGAATCTTTATTATTGCTAAGAACTACTTGTATCTATTACGCGCCAGCCATGATAGTCTTATGACCCCTATTTTGTAGATGAGTAAACTGAGACATGCAGGCACAGCCAGCTGGTGACACAGCCAGAATGTGAACCCAGGTCTTCTAGACTCCTTTGTTGCTCATATTCACTACCTCAGGTTACCTCCTCAAACCACCAAGGTAGCCAGGAAATTAATGCTTTCTTCTCAGTCTGTTGGTTGCAAAACTGTACAAGTCTCTAACTTATTGGGTCGCTGTGCCTTCAACCATGCCACACTGCTGGGAACAGGACATCCTGACAGTGTGAACACCAGCTTTTCATCTAGGCGAGCCCTTGCTCTGCTGAGTGGCCTGCAGGCATCGGTGACACACTTTAGAATCAACTAATAATATCATGTACTGAGGTAACTGAATGGAAAGGAGTTCAAAGGAAACCACATGGAATTATTTGATACACTGTTTTCAGCAACATGCCAACAAGCTCAGTTTCAAATATATTCCATCTGTTTTTTTAAAAATTAAAAGCAAGAGGACATAAGCTTTCCAGATTTACTTGCTAATTCATAGAAGAACTCTTTTAACAAAGTGCACTTTGTTAAGCTCTTCATCTTTAAACACACACCACACTACCTACAAATACACTATACATGTGCACACACAGTTCACACATCCACACACCCACACACATCCACACATACTATTTACACATCCACATACATACACTTATACACTGTTTATACACACACATACACTTATACACACATGCTACTTATACATACACACATACACATATATACACACATTATGATGGTTAATTTCTTGTGTCAACTTAACTGAGTGCCCAGATATTTGGCCAAACATTCTGCGTGTATCTATGACAGTGTTTCTGGATGAGATTAACATTGGAATTGGTAGGCTGAGCAAAGCAGATAGCCCTCCCTAACATGGGTGGGCCCCATCCAATTAGTGGAAGGCCTAGATAGAACAAAAAGGCTAAGTAAGAAGGGACTTTGCCCGCCTGACCACTTGACCTGAGACACTGGTCTTCCGCCCCTGGACTAGAGTTTATACCATACACACATACATACATACATACATACAAAGAAATTACGTAGCTCAGTAGAGAAAGTGGGTCAAATTCCCATTTAATTTCTCAAATCTACCTGATGGCAAACTTCATCCAAGAATAAAATGCAACAGATCACTTCTGTGTATCATTTGCATAAAATTGCTTAATAACATGTGTTTGGGGAAAAGAAAGCTCAGTTTTGGTTTGAATTTCAGTTTACTCTTCTGTATATAAGCAGTCAGAATTCCAAAGTGCTCATACAATGCCAAAGGAAAAGAAAAAACTTTAAATGTCTCACCTCTTGATATTTTTATTTGTTTCGGAATTCACTTTAATAAGTCCATTGAGGTCTTGTTTTCTTTGAATATAAAAATGAGTTTTAATGAATGTCATTAAAATAAAATACTAATCAGGTGAACAATGGTTGGAAAAATTGTGGTAAATATTCAAGTTCACGATCTCTGTCAATGTAACTTTTAAAGATCTAAATGAAAATGAAAATTTTTCTCTTACACCTTGAGCTGAAGACCATTTAAGTTTTTATTTGTTAATAAGAAACATATAATTTTTTGTTTTGCTCTCAAAATGTGTAAGTATATGTGAAACTTGTTACTTAACAAAATCTACTTTACCCTCAAATACGTCTTGCTAGAATACCCCAAAATGGGTGGCAGTAAAGTTATATAAGCTAGTTAAAATTCCATACTGGGTTCAAAGAGAACATAAATTTCTACTGAAAAAATCAGATATAATTGCCTATTTTGTTTTTAAATAATAGTAATAATAATGTTAATAATAGGAAAATTAATGACTCACTTCTCAGGGAGACACATTTCACCCTCATTAAAATGCATTGACTAATACAAAAGGGGCAGCACCTGAATCCGGAAGGGGCAGTAGAGGATGACAGAAGTATCATGATTGGGTATGATGTCATGTCAACATGCTGCCATGTCAACAGAGCTCTCAAGAGGACAGAAAGTGGTGGAATGTCCTCACTCCCAGTGTGTGTATCTGCCCAGCCCCTCCTCTGGGCTACCTTCTGAGACCACCATCTTTAGAGAATTGGTTTACCAGAGTTTTAGTCAAGCCCCCCTGGCTATCTTTGTGATTTTGGAGATCCACTTTGAAAATGTTGTCAAGATTATGCTTTCTTTAGACACAAAGAAATTCAATTCAGTAACTCATCTCTAAAAACAAACCAAAGCCCAAAATCTGGGAGAAAAGACAACTCACTATTAAATCTTGGGATAATTCTTAAAACAAATGATTTTACTGGAAGCAAGAAGGGAAGGTCATGTGGCCCATCATTATTGTCCAATTCCATGCTAATAAAATATGGTTATGAAGTTAAAATGCCAAATCATTTTATCTTCTTATTTGTCACATAGAGAAATCAGATTTAAAGACACTGAGTCTTACCCAGGCATATTTTCATTTCCTTTGGGATTCACTTTGATAATATTATCAAGGTCTTCACTGGTTTAAAAAAAAGTTTAGATCAGTTTCAAAGTATTCCCATCATATTATACATATATACACATTCCATATTATTGATGATTAATTCAAGCTTTTGAAGAAAATTACTATACTTATACTAAATTCATTTTGTTATAAAAATTGCCTGTTAATAATATAGTTTAATCTCTAGGATTTTATTGGGCTAATAAATAAATGTAAATTTAGATAGAATGTACTGTAGACTCTGCAAAGTGAAAATCAGGGCAATAGGGATCAGACACAGAAGAGAGAAGGCAAACTCAAAGACGTAACCCCCTCAATATCACTGAGAAGTTCACACAATTAATCTGGGAGAAAATAACCGAGTTTCAGAAACATCAAAGCAGTTCTCACCCTCTGCTAGTTTTATCTGTCCTGGCGTTTGCTTTGATAATCGTTTTGAGACCTTGGGTTCTTTGGAAAAAACATGAGAACCTTATGTCAGTTAGGTTACTTTCAATTTTCTCTGACATCTGTATAAACAAGAATGTCCTTGAAAGGGTGTCAGATGTTCCCAAGGCCAAATGACCAGAAAAACCTTTGATGTAATTATCCTTAGCTTATCTTTATTAATTTCTACAGTAGTACTTATTTTAAATCAGTTTAGGAAATCTTCCCAATGTATCTCTCACTTTGCAATTTTGTCCTTTTTATTTCTGAACTTAAATATAAGATTTGGCTCATTTTTAAAATTACTTAAGAAAACATAGAATAAGAGATTATCTAGCAGGTTTTCCTGCACTTACTTCAATGCAACTCAGACATGTGGTCCTATGGGACCAGGATTCATTGTGTCCCTTTGCCTATTATCTCTGATAGGCCAAAAGTGCAACAGTTCATCTGTGACAGAGGAAAGCACAACACTCCTATTTCTAATGAGGTGTAAAAAGCTAACCTGAAAAAAAGAGCCCCATCAAGGTAGGAGCTTTACTTACCCTTTCTCACTTTTGTCAGTCCTTTGATTAACTTTAATAAGACTTCCAAGGCCTTGATTTCTTTATAACGTTGGGGGAAAGCGAGGGAGGGCAGAGCAACAGAGAGAAAAAGAGAGAGAACGATTCAATTTCTATGACAACAGCAGATTTCTCACAACAGGAGTAAGATGTTGTCAGTATCTAAAACATCAGAAGTCCTTAGAAATATTTAAGTCAAGTGGCTCTTCTTGCGCAAAATGCTGAAGAGAAATGCTAACTATCCTAACAGTAAGCTACCAACTATTACTCAGTAATGATGAAATCAATTGAAAAGTAAAAGTTCCTCCTAGTCTCAGCTTTTGCTTTCTTTGTCCTTTGAGGGTGGGTGGGTAGGAAATTAACTTTAATCCATTTGTTGAGATATTGTCTTCTTTAAACATGAAAATCATTCACATCAGGGGTAAAAATCAGATGATCAACATTTTCTAAACACTTTCAAGATTTAGACAAGTCATTTTTAACAAAAGGTTCAAGGTTCTGAAGTAACCTTGGAAAAGTGGAAATAACTCTGATGGCTCCAGGACTTTATATAAATTGGCCACAACCAATAAAACTTTCACACAGGAATAGCTTAAAAGTTTTAGGGAACATGGAAGCTAATTCCTCTAAATTCCCCACTGTCCAAGGGTTCCCCTTTGCCGTTTTTATCTGTCTCCAATTTCATTGTGATAAGACTATTGATATTTTAGTTTCTTTCAGTATAAGAAAGAAGGAAGGGAGGAAGGGAGGAAAGAAGGAAAAGGAACTATGGACTCTCCCTACTACACCAATGAGATCAGTCATTCCTGCATCAAAGCCTGGTTGCTATCAAGTTATCCCAGGTCACAAATCACTTCTCAATTTACTTGTGATGCTCATCCTACTTTTCCTATTTTCCATCACTTTTGTGGAACTTTCCAAACTTCATTTCCTAAATATCTGAAATCTCATCTTTTCCTGTAAAACTCATATAACCACTTACAGAGAATTGACTGCTTTCCCACTTCATCTGTTCTCCATTTGAAAAAAATTCACCCATAATAATGCTTGCACATTTTCATTATAGTAATGTATTGTTAATAAGCATTCAATGTCTGTGGGATTGTTATTGCCAACACTTTTCATTATATAGACTTTGTTAAATGTTCTACCTCAGAGAGGGTTGAGAATGTATCTGCCAAGACAGACTTGAAAAACCAGAATACCATTCTGTGCACAGACCAGCACAGAAAAATGGTTTTTAAAGATAACCAAGACAATAGAAATAATTATTGCATTAGGAAAGCAAATTTAATGACTAAGAAATACAAGGTAGACAGTGAATCTAGAGAAAACACAATAGAGATCTTATAAATGCTTACCCTTTGTCATTCTCGACTGTTCTGGGATTTTCTTTAATGAAACTGTCAAGGCTTTGGTTTCTTTCAAGACAAAAAATAATATGAGTAATGTAACTCATTTTCTAGTATATCAATATCAGTCCAGAACTATAAGTTAAACTCTTAGATGCTTTCAATTTAGTTACTGATCACTCATTAACTCTTTTTGTGATACAAAATAAATAAAAGCATGGCTCTTGACCTTGAGATATTTACAGATATATCTGAAATACACATATGAAGTGATTCAATCAAGATTCCAACTGCAAAGTGTCTTAGTACATTATAAAGACTTCAGTGGTGAGGGGCTATGCTCCCAGCATCAAAATGTCTTCTAGTAAATATATTTAGTTCATAAAGCAGCCTATTGTCCACTACTCATAATAACAAGTTTGATTTCTTTCATTTTTAGATATAAAAGGGAACTTGGAGATCATCTAGTTCATGGCCTCCATTTTATGAAATGAGGAAACAAAGGTCTCCAGAGGTTAAGCAACTTGTCCAGGGTCACCCAGATTGATGTTGGTGGCAGAGCCAGCACCAAGACAGTGACTCATCTCCAGTCCTTGACGGGGGGCCCTTTCCACCAGCCTATCTGACCTTTGTCCTGAGCAGGAGGTCTCCCGCAGGAAATGGTATACAGTCTAGGACTCAAAAGAGGCCTGTAAGAGTTTTAATCAAATCTTACCCTTTGCCGTTTTCGTCTGTCCGGGTATTCACAAAGATGAGATTTTCAAGGCTTTTGGCCCTGTAAAACACAAGGAAATTCAAATAAAAGACTGAATGTTGAAATTAAATTGTGTGGTATCTTAAAAGGTCAGATACAGTAAACATTCCTCATGAATTGCTCATTTACTTATCGAATAGAAGAGCAGAAATCTTTCTGGGCAATTATATCTGAACTAAAGGTACAATACTGAGAGTGCTACCCCATCTGCCAGTACATTCTCATGCCAGAGGATACAACTCCGTTCCAGCTAATGTCTGAAAGAATCAAACAAGCAATCTGGGAACTAATATTTTCAGGTTAGAGACAGATGCACTTACCTTTTCTCTGTTTGCTCTGCCTTAAGATTTGTTCTGAAGAGACCATCAAGACCTTGGTTTCTTTAAATATATTGAACAAAAAGCCTTGTCAGCGGTAACAACAGATACTTAACTCTATGGAAGCATAGAGCAGTTTACATCTAAGACACGAAATAGAAGCTGGTTGGGAAAGATGAGCCACAATTCTTGAAATTGCTTTATTCTAAACAGGTATTTTCATAGACTCAAAATTTAAATTGCAGTGGACCTTAGAGAAAATAAAGGAAAGATACAAACTGGGGATCCATAATCTGTAAGAGGTCCACAGATGTGTTGTTTGGGCTCATGGAGTGTTTTTGTTTTTAATGTGAGCCAATATTTACAAAGCTGGCCACGACACATAGAAACTGGAATTTTTAGGATCTGCTGAAAATGTCCCGCAACGTTGGGCTCAAATTCTCACACGTCAACCATCAGTGGGAGCTGAGAAACAGCTGGTCACTGTGGACAGGAGATTCGCCCTGTGCTTCACACAGTCAGCCCCCTTTGCTCATTTACACCTGCCTAGCCACAAGAGGCCATGAAGTCTCTGGTTCCTGATGTAATGCCTCCTCTGTTTATAAATGAGGAAACTAAAAAGCAGCCCATTTACATGAATCGTTGATAGTCAGTCATACAGATCATTATTGTCAGAATGAGGTATGAAAACCACAACTTTTCACCCTCAAACTAATTAACTAGTTTGGCATTTGCTTTGTTTCTCCTCTTTGTTCCCTGCCCATTGAGTATGTTAGTGTGCAAGCTGACAGAGAGATGATGAAAATTGCACACACCTCTAACACAAACCTCAATTATCATAACTTTTAAAATATGTAATTATAAACGATTCAAAATTAGCAGAGAATGTTAACTAAGATAAAAAGTGGTTTTTGTAATGTTAAAACTAAAAGCATTCAGTGACCAAACCAAACTCTATTTACATACTAAGATATTAATATTTCAGGAAGAGAAATGTGTTTACTTATATAACCGCCTTACTAAACAAATGGAGTATGAAAATTAAAAACATTTTAATATTAGTATCTTTAGATTGTAATAACCATTCATAATCACGATGAAATGATGATGATTTCTACAAGCTTTTTATTCAAGATTTGTAGGCTACCTTTAACGAGCCCAGTATGTGGGTCTTCACATAATGCTGAAGAGACATAAGAAGACACAATACGCAAGTGAGTACTAAAGCAAAAACAGATGTTTTAAAATCTTACCTATTCAAACTTTTGCTCATTTGGATGAGATTATCCAGTTCTTCACTTTTGGAAGAGAAAAAAAATCCTACATCAGTGAAAATCTGCTCAGGCTCAAAGGGAAGATTCACCTTAAAACAACTATTTCCATGTTCTGTGAAATACAACACGTGTCCCACCTTTTCATTTCAATAACCCTGTCTCTCTCTCAAGGTTCTCCTCACACACCTCCCTGTTCAAGAAATCTTTCCCAGTCCTCAGACTGAATAGAGTCCCTTATATTTTTGGTACCCTTGCAGCATTTGGGGGGTTTTTTCCTCTCCTTTATGGCACTTACATTACTATACTCAGCAATACAGCAATTGTACAATTGTCTCATGTCAATGCCCCTGCCCGCCGTCCCCCCACCACTTAAAATTTAGAGCCGTATTTTACATTGTATCCTCTTCAGTCTTCAATACAGTGTCTTTCACACAGTAGATGCTTAATACACGATTTTAATGGAATCAACAAATATGGGTACATTGACTAATTATAGATTCTATCTTTGCATAATGTACTTGCATAAAGTAGCTATTGGAAAACACTTGTTCATCAGGAAGTCTGGCTTCTTTCTTGAATTTTCCTCCTACCTCATTCCAAATCAGCTAAATTTGCTATCTTGTTTCCATATTTGAGAACCGCAACTTTCTGGCTGCTTCTTCAGGAGCAACCTGTTTAAGCTAAACCCCTCGTTCCAGAATATCCCTTAGAACCAATGAGCTCTGCTCCCTGCCCTATGAAGGCAGCCTCTGTGGGTTTCTTGTTCCTGTTCACTCCTCATAGTACGTCCTCTCCTCTTCTGTCCACCCATTTGTCTCCCATTTCTCTAGCCTCCCTCATCCAGTTTTTCAGTTCACAAATCTTGGTTCTCCCTTCTTGCTCTAGAATCACGTTTCCCACACTTTCTCAGTGTTTCTCTTTCTTCTTGATTCATCGCTGGTGTTAAACTCAGTAGCTACACATTCAGGACCCCAAGTGAGGGATACCTGGATTCCAATCCAGATTCACCACTTATTAGTTGGTGACTCCAGGTGAGTTACCTAACCTCTTGCTGCCTCAATTTTTTCATCTGTAAAATAAGAATACTAATTGTACCCTCCTAGGAAAAGAATCAATAATCTAATGAATATAGAGCACTTAGCATAATGCTTGGCAATTCATAAGCTCTCAATTAATTTTGCCCATTATCATAAACAGTTTCCAGTCAATACAAAATTTTTCATTTAATAAATGCTTGCAATATCTAATTTGTTAAACTGCACTTAGAGAGACTGAGACTTTGGCTCAGCTTTAAAGATGTATAGTTGCTGAGTCACTTATGTGCTTTGAAGATGCCTGGCACAAAATATTGCCAGAATAGCTGCTGAGGCAGTCTTCTTACAGATCCTAAAGACACCTTAAATTAACAGCCATCACACAGATGAACTCTTTCAAGTGATATTACACATTCAATGGTAGGATTGAAGGTTGAGAATAAATTCTGAAATACACAAGCTGTTGACCCTGAGAAAGAAAATGATCAACATTCTATCCTTGTATGGGACAAATGCTGCCTGGTCCCCTGACACAATGTCCCACTGTTGTTTCTTGCTTGAAACTCTACCTTCCAACACTGAGGCTTCCAATTTGTCCCTGTCCCCAGGGGAAAAAGCAAACCTAAGACTCCTGTAAATTTTAGCCCCAGATCTTCCTGACTGGTGTGAGTCACAATGATGAAATTATCAGGAGTTGGGGTTGCTCATGTTTATCACAAGAAAATTAGCCCAAATCACGGGAAGACACTCTGCAGTAAATTAAATAAAATGGAGATTGCATTCTGAACCAAGCAGTTGAGCTTTTAAAATGACCTTACACTGATGAAAGCTTTGAATATTAAGTTTCACCACTGCACTTGCAATAAATTAAATGCTGTTAATCAGATAGGAATAAGTCTATCGCACAAAGGAATATCACAAAAAGCAGCTCAGATAAATAAAGCTATTTCTAGTCCCTACGGACGGCCCACAGTAACAATACTTGGCTGTGTTGATGTAACAGACTTTCCCCCTGGCCCCTGTCAAAGCAGCAACTTCTCCCTGTGAAGAAAGTATCTGGCTGTGGAATTCGTGCATGTGACTAGGGAGAGAGGACAGGACAGTTAAACTAACTACGGCTCTCAATGTTTTTGTTCGATTAATGCCAAACCGTAATTTCCCTTCAGCATCACTCAGCTATCTCTCCCTCAAACACGCTGATCACTCACCAAAAAACTATCCAATCTCTATTAAAAACAAACTATCACCTGAGACGAAAATAAAGAAATAAAATTAGAGATCTAGACACTTAGGCAAGAGGAGAAATGGAAAAGACACACTCAGGATACTTTCTAGAGTCCTTGTCTAGATTCAGAGCTCCTATTTTGTTTATGAATTTGCACAGAAAAGCTAAGTGTTATTTCTGTTTCTTCTCTTCAGTTCTTTTGACTGAGACCACGACCCCTAACAACACTGTTAGCATTGCTAAATTTCATTAGGCAAGGACATTTTTGTAGGTATGCGATTTAAACTATGGAATTTTTCTACTCAATGGTTTCTCACTGCTCATCACTATTTTACCATTAGCCATTATATAAACATCTACTTTGCACAAAGCATCATGTCAGATTCTGCAAATGATATACAGTGAATAAGACAAAATATCTACTCTAAGAGATTAAACAGATGATAGAGAAGATGAGACATTTACATAAAAACCATGAAAAAACACCAAATATAATCAGTTGTTATAAAACATGAATAGTGGGACTCTAATAACTAAGAGAAGCAGAAGTCACATCTCACTGGATCATTCAGGGAAGACTTCACAGAGGAGGTGGTATTTGATCTGGATCTTGAAAAGTGGGTCAGACTTGGATGGATTGATATGGTAGCTTTGAGGATGGAAAAGTCTGCCATGTGGGTTCAGTGGCATAAACAAAGGCAGAGTATCTGGAAACTGTAGAAAGGAAGTGGTTTAATTTGGTATTGCATGTAGGGTAAATGTAAGGGTGAAGTCAGAGATAACTCTGGAAGGTTAATTTGGAGCCAGGTAGCCTTGAATGAAGTTATAAGTAATTGAATGGGCAAAGGGGAGCCAGTGGAGTGATTGCTCAAGCAGAATCTTAGGAAGAAAACTCTGGCAGTGATGGGTTTAGTGGGAGGAGAGACTGAAGAAGTGTAAGTAAATGTGGACAGCTACGGCTACTCTAATAACTGATGGTGGAATCAACGATACTTTGAACTAGGGTGAGGCCATGTGGGCATGAGGGGTATTTTAGACATTTAATCTATACATTCCTGATCTACATAGAGGAGATAAGACATGGAAGAATCAAGACTGAGTCTAGAAAGATGAGCTTACCTGAATGAAAGAACAAAGAGAAGTCAAGAAACAGCATATTTGAGAATGAAGTTGAATATGGCTTAGGACATTCTAAATCGAGGTGCTGGGGAGACTGAGAGGTACAGATCTGAGCCAGCAACATAAATACAGGACTGGGGATTTGGAACAAGGTCAAAACCACAGAGAGCTGAGGCAACTGGGATGAGTACAATCACCAGAAGGGGAAGCAGAGGAAAGAGAGTATCCATAAATGTCAGGATCACTCAACTTTCAGGGACACATATCTAGAGACACTGATTCTTTCTTAAATTATATATAATACACAGCTCATACCTGGAACTTTTAAAAGTACTAGGTAAGCATTTTTGAAATATACAGAGAAGAAAAAAACAAGCTCAAAAGCTTTGGGATCTTACCCCTTGTCAGTTTTCTGAAGTGAAGTGGCCACTTTGACAGTGTTCTCAAAATCCTGACTCCTTCAATGAAAAATAAATCCAAGTCAGTGACAGTAGAGCTATCTTTGAAGTAGCTAAAACTTCTCATCTGTCTTCAGTGAAGAAAGTGAAAGTCCATGCGTTGTTCAGGAATTACTAGGTTTAACTGAATAACAAAATAGTTCTATCATACCAGCACACGCACAGACACACACACACACACACACACACACACAGTTATTCCACCTGGACGTTGGCTCTGCCATCTAGTGTTCACTGAAATAACTACAGTTTCTTCTAAAGATTGTGTTGGCTGCTCCCAGGTTCTGTACTTAAAATAGGATACAGAAAAGAAAATAGTTAACTGCACAAGTACACATGGAAGTATGTTCAGAAGTTTTTCTACCAGAGCCAAGAAGCACTAAGCAACATATCCAGACGATTAATTAGTCCCTCGCCTGAAGTGAAAATATCTGTTGTCTTAGGCTTCCAAAGGGAAAGACAGTAAGTTTTAAACTATAGGAAAGGTGGAAACATCTGACACATAGAGGGCTTGACTCCATCCTGGTCTCCCTAGATCATGAAAAGGAGTAATTGTGAAAATCCTTATAGGTGCCCCTGTAATGAAGACCTATGTTTCACAAACAATGTCTCATAGAAGGTTAATAGGGTTCCATGAAGAATTTTGTAGTCAAGAAAATTTAGAAAATGTAAGTGACTTTTGGAGATTCAGAATATATATGAGCACACTGAAAGTTCTGAGAAGTTCTGTGGCAGAGGACTCCATTAATTGTGTTTCCTAATGTGTTGAGCCATTAGCCCTTCTTTCACAGAACATGCATTGACATCTTGTGCCACATGGGACACAGTTTGGGAAAGCTGACATAGAGCCACACTTTAAGTTACCAGGTACAAGAGAACCATGATTCTCCCCAAAGGTAAGGTATCCATGTGACATCTGTTTCAAACTGGGACTCTTCAGAGAGTCAAGGGAAACGAGAGAAGAAAAGAATGAAAAATATGTAAGTTTTGAATTTTGAAAAACGTTTTCAGTCAAAAATGGTTTTGACTGAAAAATCGGCTTATAATAATGGTTAAGATGGCAAATTTAATGTTACGTGTTTTTTATCATAATAAAAAATTGGTTTATCATATTGGTACACCTATAAAATATCATTGTTCAAAAACTAATTTCAAAAATAGTGTTTTCCCCCCAAAATAAAAACAAGATATATCTAAAGCAAATACTAAACTAGATGGGATGTGCAAGACAACAGGCATAAATCAGGACTGTCATGGGGAAACCTTACCCAGAGGCATCAGTACAACTTATAAGCCTCTTCCTGATAATGCTGTTGGGGCTGGATGTGACCTTATCATATAGCCGATTCCAGGCAAAGCTTTTCTCGAACAAGTTCAATCAAATGACTATATTTCCACCTATTCATTTATGCATACATCAACACCAACTAGATCATAGACCTTGGGACAAGTGCTGGGGATAAAGAGGTATTTTCCTGTCTTAAGGAGTTTGATCTTATTCTGCTGTCGTGTTCAGACAATTTTGGTAGTCTTCTTAATGTAAAGCTTAGAACAGAAATAAAAGGAATAAAATTCTTAGCTACATATAAAAATATTCATTATTCACTATATTTAAGTCAGTTGGAAAACTTATTTTATCTATTTTATTATTGTTTTGTATTTTTAAGTGTTCTAATAAAGGGTACTTTATCATTTCTAGAGTTATATAGATATAGATCATTGTACCTTATATTTCTTTCAGCAGATCTGTTGGTTTCCATATAAACACCTGGTTTAGGTGGACATATCTGCCTATATTTTTAAAGTTAAAGATAACATCTGTTAGGAAAGAAAACACTTCTCTGTTAAATTTAAATTTATAGGAAAACATTCATGTTCAAAAAAGATCAGTTCATAAGCACTACTTGAGATAAACTTACCTTAGGTCTTTCGGGTCACTAGAACTCAACTATCTTCTATTTGGAATTCTAGAGTTCAATATACCAACTTTGCAATTTAGCCTCTTTTTATATATATACATATATTTTATGTATATTATATACATATAGTATGTGAGTAAGGAAGATTAGTCCTGAGCTAACATCTGCTGCCAATCCTCCTCTTTTTGCTTGAGGAAGATGGTTACTGAACTAACATCTGTGCCCATCGTCCTCTACTTTATATGGGATGCCACCACAGCATGGCTGATGAGCAGTGCGAGGTCCATGCCTGGGATCCGAACCTGTGAACCCCGGGCCACCAAAGAGGAGCACGTAAACTTAAACACTATTCCACTGGGCTGGCCCATATTTTAATATATTTTTAACTGCTGGATATATCTAGATATATCTATTCCAAATATGTTCGTGTTTATTCTATTTTAGTTTCCAATCATCAATAAAGCATCTTCATACTTATCTCTATTAGATCACGATATAGTATTTTAAAATACTAAGAATCATTTTTTATTATTAGATGTCAGGGGAACGATTTTTTTCTTAAAACCATTCCATTTGAATACTATCAAGAAGTATATTTGCTCAGATAAGATGGGAAATATTTTCATATTTCTAGTACACCCATCACTTTGAGAAGGAAAACATTGAGTTGACAGTATTAAATTTTACAATGTTAGCTTCTGTCACAATTTATGATATAAGGCTTTTCTCTTCTCTTTTTCTAAGTATCTTATTGACCTACTTTATACATTCTTGCTTTTTCTCAAGAAGCTGTATTCAACTATTTTTTTGTACTCCTGAGGACATGTGTTAATTACATAGGAAACACTTCCCTTTCATATTCTTTCATTAAAATCATCTTGCTGTGATTAAAGTAATCAGGGTTTAAAACATGCAAGTTGTCCTAATTTTATTTTTAAGATCATTGGTGGAAGAAAGAAATCAGAGTAGTAAAGATGGATTGGACCATTTCCCATGAAATTTAGCCTCTTTCGAAACTGCACAAGCTCATTGCTTTAGAGCTGCTGATTTTAGGTTAGAATTCAGGTGGTACTAAAGCCAATTTATCTTAGCTCCCTAAAAAAAAAATCCTATTCAAATTAAGATTTAATTGTGTAATACAACAAGAGTAAAAGGCAAAATAAAATACAAAGCTTGAGAAGTTATTCTTAAGACTATAATTATAACCATCGTACAAATAAAAAGTTATAAATCTGGTCCATATTTTTTATTAATTCAATGAAAAAGTATTTTCTTGACTCATTAAGAAAAATTTAACCTCTCATCCTAAGGACAAAATTTCCAAGATCCTGTGAAGTTTCACTGAATAGGAATTCAGACCTGAGTTTTTAACTCAATGGGCTGAACACCTAATGCTACACGGGCTTGCCACCCAACTGGCATATTCTAGCTGAAGTTATCCTCTTACTGAAGAATAATTCTAGAATTGCCTCACATTTTGTCAAAAAATCAGCATGAAAAACGAAAATACAAAAGAATCAAAGCTAGGCCATAAAGTGGATCTAATGTATTCAGTCCTCATTGAGATACCATTTTTTAAATCTCGCAATCATAATGGAAATGTGCAATGCATGTCTTGAAAAATGGTTCAAGATTATTAAACAGTTTAACAGTAATGCATGGGAAGATTTTCACGTCTCTGAGTTTGTTTCTGAGGATTAATTATAGAGTGTCAGAGATTCAAAGTGGAAAAGCAAGTCTGTCATTTTTTCTTGATCCAGATACAAGTTAATTAGAACATTTTTCAAAATTTGTGGTAGTTTTGAAATAAATTACAAACTCCGTAGCTAAAACAAGACTCAAGAACTACCCAAAGGTATTTCTAACATGAGGGACGGTTCAAGCAGTAACCTAAAGTTTCAAGAACATATTTTATCAGAAAATGTATCTCTTAATGGCAAACTATACACACACACACAGGGTTTATATTATATACAATATATGTCGAATACATATATACATATATATTGGTATATTTACATACAGAGAGGGAGTTTCCTTACGTATTGGTTCCTAATACATAAATTAGAGGAACCCGAGTATGAACACTTCCTGGACATGAATGTTGCTCAGTTTCTATCTTGAAGGTGTAATGGCCATAAGTGTTCAAAGGCGAACATAAATACGCATTTGCATTGGCAAATAGAGTTAGAAAAGGTTTACAAGTGCCTCTTCAGTGAATGTGCACACAAAACATACCCATTCTTTGCACAAAACAGCTCAGAAATCATTTGCTTTCATTTCCCTTGAACTTCTTCATTTTGACACAAAGTTCTGGAGTGCTAGGTCTTACCTATTACCTCCTTTCAGCTGGTTAGGAGATGAAACTGGAGAACTGGGCTTTGGAGGTATTGGAGGGTGAATAGCTGATTCCCTTTAAAGCAGAAAACAGAAGTTCATTTCACCATGGGAGCATGGTAAATTTTAGCAACTATTAACCTGATGCATTTATTGCCTACGTGGAAATATCTCCTCCATCTTACAATCTCCATGCATGGAGTACATGAAAGGTCAGAATCTATGGAGCACTGAACTTTAATAAGTCAAATATTTAGATTGCAGATATTTTAAAAGTTCATCTAATCAGATTTTCGTAAACCCTATTCCCTTCAACTGTAGTTTGAAACATAACGTGTTCTTTAAACAGCTTAATATTTTGCTAGACTATCTCGCTCCAGTAGTGGCATTTTGGGTCAGCAGCACATGCGCACAGTAAGTGGTTCTTGGGCATTAACATATAAGCTTCTTTAGGAATTATGTCAACTATCAGGCTGCTACGGAAACAGCAAGAAAGAGTTTCAATTCCACAGACCTCCAGGTAAAGTTGATTTGAAGTTCTTAACTAAATCTGACTTCAATATTGTCAGCACAGGCCAGTTTGAGGCTAGCAAAGCATATATATACTGCCAGCCTAAACTTTCCAATGAAGCGCCAAGGTAGCCTCTGAGCTGGCATGACTGGATGACCAAGGAACTGAAGACAGACAATTATGTGCATATTTTGGATGGAGTCACCGAGGGCATGTCACTGCCCGCCCACCCACCCCCCCCCCACCACCACCATTACCACCCCAGGTGCTCCCTTTTATCCTCAAGATAAATTCCATACCTAGTAAAAGTACCCATGTGACCTAGACTCTGTGTACCCCTGTGGCTTCTGCAGCATGGAAGGTGAGCACATGGGCTCTGGAGTCAGGCTGCCTGAATTGCCAGCTGTGTGGCACTGGGTTAACCTGATTCCATTTTGTCATCTGTAATAACCCTTCTAATAAGATTGTCAGGGTGTTGTCAGGACTAAATGAGATCATGCTTTTATTTATTTATTTACTTTGACCAGCGTTGTGTACTTTATTTTTATTTTTTTATTTGTTTTTATTGGTGTATAATTGAATAGGTCATGCTTTTATTTAGCAAATGTTTTTGGGTAGCTTTCTATGTACAAGGCATTTTACAATGCGGATAATTTCCCTGTTCTCAAAAGGCTTTCAGTACACAAATTAACATATGACAAATGGAGAAAAGTGCTAAGAAAACAGAGTAAAAGGATATAGAGTGATGAGGGTAAGCACACTATTTTATATAAAATGGCCTGGGAAGGCCTCTCTGTGAGGTGAAATTTGAGCCAAGACCTGAAGGAAGTGATAAAATGAGCCGTGAGGATACTGGAGGAAGAGCATACAAACATAAATATTGTCAACTTAGACATGGTGTTTAATAGCTGAAACTGGACGAGATCACCAAGGGAGTAAGTGTAAGTAAAGATGAAAAGAGGGCCAGTGGTTGAACCCTGGGTCCTGAGATATTTTGATGTTAAGAATAGGATTAGAAAACAGCAGAAGAGTCTGAGGAGAAGTGGCCAAGGAGAAAAGAAGAGAAATATGAGGGTGTGGTATCCTGGAAGCCAAATGAGGAAAGTCTTTCAAGAAAGGAGTAATTGGCCATGCCAAATGCTACTGACAGATCAATAAAACAAGGATTGGGAAGTTAGCAAGATTTGGGCAATATAGCGGTCATTGGTAACCCTGGTAAGAGCAGCTTTGATGGAGCAGTGGTGAAAAACATTGTAGGAGGAGATTCAAGAGAAAACAGGAAGTAGAGGCATTCATGTCGATACTTCTTTTGAGGAATTTTGCAGTGAAGAGGGAGGAGAGAAATGAGTAGCCATCTGAAGGTTGGTGGGTCAAGAAAGCTTACTACACAATATAGTTATTATGACAGGAATGATCCAGTGAAGAGGCAAAATTTGATGGTGCAGGAGAGTGAGTAGAAAATTGTTAGACAGATGTCCTTGAGAACTGATGGGAACTAGGGCACATGTGGGGTGGTTGGTCCTAGATGGAGACACAAACAGCGCATCCATAGTAGCAGGAGAGAAGGAGACTAAATGGGTACAGCTGAGGTACGTTAGTTGATTTGGAATGGAAAAAGTTCTCTTTTGCTTGTTTCTATTTTCTCAGTAACATAGGAATCAAGATCACTAATTCAAAGTGAGGACGGGGAACAGGAGTTGAGGGAGAAGAGAAGCGAGAGAGAGAATGTGTGAAATGGTTTCTAGGAGAGGAGTAAATGGATTCAGGAAATATAATATGATGCTAATAAAAATAACACACCGTTATATGGAATTATTATGTGCCAGAAACTTCTCTAAGCACTTTACATATATTAAGTCATTTAATCTTCATTGCAATCCCAGAAATAAGTATTATGCTTCTTATTTTTTTTACAGATGAAAAGACCGAGGCACAGCAAGTAAAAATAAATATGCCATGATCATACAGCTGATAAGAGCAGAGTGAGGAATCGGAACTACGAAATCTGGTTCCATAAGTCCTCCTCATGCTATGATGCCTTTCAAGGGATTCTTGGGCAACACCAATGACTAGGTTAAGGTTAGTGGTCACGGAATCAAAATCAGGCTAGTTGGCACTGTTTTCTCTTACCATATTCAGCTCCTTCATGGGCAGGAACAGAATAGACAGAGTTGGATTTAACTAAGTTTATAATTCTGCCAAGTGAGTGCAACAAAAAGAAAGATGGCAAGGGAGGGGAAGAGGTACGCAAGGTAGTGATTACAACGAGGGATGGTGGAATCTGAGATGGACTTGGAGGGAAGTGAGATACGAGGGGAGAGGGACTGTGGTAGAATCAATGTATTGGTAGTTGTGTTGGACTGAAGAATTTCTGGAATCAGATGACTGGAGGGAGTGAGCTGGACAGATTGAAAGTGGAAGCCAGGGAAAGAAAGCTTCACAACTGAAACTTTGTAGCATGTGTGGTTACTTACAACGGCAAGATCTATGGATGGCTGAGGTCGGGTGAAGGACAAGATCATTGGAGAGGATGTCAAGGAAGTGAGAGGCCAGTGCAGGCAAGGATGCTCTACACAGATTTGGAAATCACCAAGCTCTATGACAGGAGGAGGGTTTGTGAGAGACAATGTGCCTGGTGCCAAAGTCTTCAAAGAGTGAGAGTGAGTGACTCAGAGACCTTCAGATGACTCCAGTGAGGAAGAGATGTTCATGATGGGATGGGTTCAGAGAAGATGGGGAGTTTAATGGGGGAAGGAATTAAAATTGAGAGGAAGTGGCAAGGAAGAACAAACAGGGCCCTCCCCCACTTCCTCCAGACCCCGTGATATGTGGAGTTAGGAGAAAAACAGCCCTCACTGAGAGGGAGTCTGTGGCAGCAGTGTCCTCTGGGAGAACTCAACAAAGAAGTGAGAGATCATGTAGAGGCGAGGCTGAAGGGTAGCAAGTTTTGATGGTAATGGACGACACATCCAGGGAGGCACTGTGCAAGGGTTTGAGAGGTTAGGATGCCATCAGGTTGGGTCAGGTTCAGTGATGCACAGAACTCTACGGAGATGCTCCAGGTAATAGGAAATGACCTGACTGGGGTTCCATTGGGGATCCATGGCCACAGGGATGGAGGACATGAGGGAATTAGTCCTGAAGCTTTCTCGGCAGAGTGCGGTAGGAAATCTCCTCATGATGGGCAGTAGAGCAGTAGAGCAGTAGAGCACAGAGCATGGTGGGTCTCCTGGGTCTTGTGTTGACGATGGCAGTGCAGCCAGCAGAAGGGCATGCAAAGCATTAGAGCCCTGACTGGCTCCTTGTAAGTGCTCAATAAATATCTAGTGCTGTGGTTGTTGTTGTTTTTACCCGACACGAACACAATACTGCAGCTGTACTGAAGCTAACAAAGTTGCACTTCCTAACCTGCCCCCACCACCATATTCTCTGCCCTCTCTGGCATGCCTCCTACTCCCTTACACCTGGACACCTCCTCTTCACCCTTTAGACTTTGGATTAGCCATTACTGTCTCTAGTGGTATCCAAAGCTATGCTGGAGACATCCCTATATCTCCCTGTAGGAAACAATCTATACAGCAAGTATCACATTGTTTTGGATTACCCATAATTTTCTGTCTCCACACTGGACTGAAAGCTCATAAAAGGATAGTTATACCCTAAGTGCTAGGATTGTGTATGATGCTGGTGCCCAATAAGGAAGTGTTGAAAGAGGGAGTGATTGACTGAATTTCTATTTGGTGAGGAGGGAAATGGATACTGAAGAGGGGCCTGAAACTTTTAACATCTGTTCAACTTCAGCTGTCCCATAGGAGAAGGCCATTGTTGATTCCACTACTAAACACCTAATAAGTACCGGGTGCTCAGATGAATTATTGTGTTACATGATATGCCTGAAAAAAACAATTTACATGAAAAAAGTCTCCTTCTTCTGGCTTAGTGTTAGGTTTTACAATTAGATGTTATTTTATTTGTATTACCGTCATCTTCTCTTTTCAAAAAATATCCCTGTGTGGAGGATAATGTGATAACACTCAAGTGATAATGTATCTCGAGCATGTCTGTGTGGATTAGCTGATGATATGCTTTTTTTTCAGGGGTAGAGGAAAAGGGTAAGAAGGTAGTTGGTCCTAGGTAATAATGAGTCTGCACAGGGTACTGGATATCTGAGAACAGGCGGGAGAGATGTAACAAGATGGAAAGGAGGATTACAAAAAGAAGAAATAAGATGGTACCCAACTCTGCTTATGCCAGAATCACCGTGATGAAAAGCTAAATTTCTTCCAGTTTAGAATGGCTAAGGCCTCAAAGAGGCGGGTAGATATTGATTGGGTGTGTCTGGGAGGCAGAGCCAGGTAGAGAGGTAGATCTGGGCACACAATGGGGAGACAGTTTGGGGGGAGCAGCCAGGAAAGGAAAGTGGGTGTGCAGTTGTGAAGGTCAAGAAAAGCAGAGGAGCACAGTTCTTTCTGAGGGTGATGCATTTATCTCCCTGCTGGGTGGGGCCAGGAGAGGCCACACTGACTTCAATTCACCTCAAAGGAGCTTTCATTTGCATCTCTGCA